TGTTCCAAATACACAAACAGTAAAGCATGTCATTTGTCCTAGGAAGAATGTCTTTGTGGATATCTGAAATGACAATTATGGATAGGAAGAATGTAATTGCGGATATCTGAAATGTTATTTTTGACTAGGCAAAAAGAACATTTCAGATATCTATGGCAAGCCATTTTAACATTTAACAGCTAGACTGGATATGTGTTGCAGATATCTGTAATTCAGTTTTGCCTAGTCAAAAAGAACATTTCAGATATCCGCAATTACATTCTTCCTATCCATAATTATCATTTCAGATATCCACAAAGACATTCTTCCTAGGACAAATGACATCACTTTTGCCATTCATTTGTATGGGGTTTGTCATTACAGATATCTACAATTCAGTTGCAGATATCCACTATGTGAATTACGGATATCTGCAACTGAATTGTAGATATCTGTAATTCTAGTTTAAGATATCTACAATTTGATTATGACTAGTACTAACTCCAATTCAAGATATCTTTAATTCACCTCAATTCAAGATATCTACATGTTCCTTTTCAGATATCTTAAATTAAGTTTGGACTAGGCGAAAGTATGTTGTAGATATCTGTTACTGGAATTATAACTAGTCAAAATGGCATTGTATATCTCAAACTGGAGTTAGGGATAGTCATAATTTAATTGTAGATATCTATTATCAAGTTATAGATATCTTAAAATGAATTTTGATTAGAGATATCTGAAATTTGAGATATCTGTAACTTTCATTCTGCCTAGTCAAAATGTAATTACAGATATCTTGAATTAGAGTTTTGACTAGGCGAAATGACGTTGCAGATATCTGTATGCAAATTAGGCTCGGCCGCATCCCACTTTAGGCGGGAGCAGAGCGTGTTGTTGTTCAAATCATCAAATCACATAGCACCTGTTAACTGTTCACTTTTAATTAGCACCATGTCGAGGGTGAAGGAGTTTTTAATCGTCTTTTTAATGCTGTTAGCTCATCATGGATTTTTACTGTGGGAAAAAAAAAAAAAATCTGAGAACTGTTTTTTCTCATCTAAGGAAGTTCAATCAATCAAATGTTATTGCACTTCCATGGCAAGAATTGCATGCATGTAAGCATCTTCATTAAAGTGAATTAGTGTGCATCTCACTCAAGCATAAATCTTTCGTCAACAATAATCTACTAATTTTAAGCATGGTCATAAACATAGAAATGCATGGCATTGCATGTTGCCAATATTTTTGAGAGACCCCCAGGCTAATGCAAATGAATACAATTTGTGTCATGCTGGAAACATATAAACATTTTCTGGTGTTTTTTTTTTTTTTTTTTTTTTTTTTGATTAAAGCCAATGCAGCTTCTTTCTTCTTCCAAATAAGGAAATTAACCCACTTCTTTTTTGATTATGGTGGGGAGGGGAAATTACATCATGCACAATAATTTGCACTAGTTATAATGACGTTTGAGATATCTTTAACTTTCATTCTGCCTAGGCAAAACTGAATTACAGATATCTGCAATTGTCATTTAAGATGTGTGACGAGTTGAATGTCGTTTTCAATGACGTCATTGCAGATATCTGTAATTCAGTTTTGCCTAGTCAAAACTGAATTACAGATATCTCTATCTGTCGTTTCGACTAGTCACAATTACGTTACAGATATCTTGAATGACAATTCCAACTATCCAAAATGTAATTACGACTAGTCAGAAAGACGTTGTTGATATCTACAATGTTAATTCCGGATAGTCAAACTTAGCTTTTAAATGCTAAAATGGCTTGCCATATGCCATAGGTATCTCGTTCTGTGGGTGCGATCAGCTCCGGTAGCCGTGTCGCAGCTGTAAACGCGCCGCAGACGTGTGCAGTGTAAATAAGAGGTGAAACAAGTGTACATTAACCCATACAATTTGTATTATGCATTTCCTGGACATGTTCTTGCTAACTAATCAAATACTTGAGCAGACTACTGATCTATCTGTAAAACACAATCAGAAAGAGCTAAATTTTAAGTTCACAATTCACATATACTTAGTTTTTAGTAAGCAGGAATAATTTCCGACTTTAAACAAATACCCATTTAAATGCTTAGGATGTTTGCGTTGTAAGACTGTTCAGGGAGACTTTAGATTTAAAGACGGTGTCTCGTTATGCAATGTTTTCTCAGTCAAATCATACAATTTCCTATTGATTCAATAGAATGCGTGAGCTCACTAGGGAATCACAAATATGGCGGCGCGGTGGCTTCACTGTTTATGACGTCATGAGCTATGCAGTCATTCTATATAGATCAGTGGGCGCAGAGCCATATATGGCTCTGAGTGGGCGGTACCCGGTCGGCTTCAACTTCCGGTCGATGGATTACCCCCTTGCCTCCTCCACCCCTACTCCAGAGCCATAGAGAGAAAGAGTTGCGACCATAGATATCTATATAAAGGCTAGATGTCTCGTCCGCGCTGTTGGCCAATGGTGGTGGACATCAGCACCTGGCGGCCATCTTGTCACAGGCTGCTCGCTCACTCGTAACATTGTGTTTATGGTGCATGTACTTTTTAAATAACCATAACTTGCTCAATTTTCTACCGATTTTCAAACGGGTTGGTTCGTTATAAACGTCAGAGACGTAGTTATGACACTGAACACTTATGGATAATTATGTATTATTTATGTTAACATCCATTATATAGGCTAGTATTATACCCACATTAATAACGTTAATAAGAAACCAAACCGTTTGTAAATCCGTCAAGATTTCAGCGAGATAAGAGGATTTGTGTTCATGCTGATCACTCACTTTACATCAGAGCCTACCTGTGACAAGATGGCCGAACGGTGATGCCGGAAGTGACTCCGCCGTAAGACATCTAGCCTTTATATAGATATCTATGGTTGCGACACTCTATGATGTCGCCGCGACGGCTGTCACGTGGTTCATGTAAGCTCCAATAGTTCCAAAACGTACGCGGGCTGTCATGTTCTTCTATGGACAGACAGCAGCGATTGCATTATTAAACGGTAAATATAAAATAAAACACACACCCAAGTACTTTTTAAGCTGTTATTGCGTTTTGTTAATGTCAGTTTTGCATTTGGAGAGGCAGGGTGACAACTTAGATAAGTTTTAGGCTATATTTTTGGAGGGAAACGCTAGTGTTCATGTTCGCATGGGTAGTAATAGCACTGGCTTTAGCGGCTCTAACTTAACTTTTCCATGTCATTCATCTGATGATGGACGTCTCATGATATTTATTTTAGCACAACTGGGCTGTATTAGGCTATTGATTCCCGTGATCTTGCTTATAAATTCCGCTTCGTGATCACAAGAGGTCTGCGGTCCGTTCAGAATTCCAACCAACATAAAATATAAATAATTACGCTGTGCATGTACAAATGAATGATTTAGGAGGGAATAGACTGCTCCCATAACGTAGAAAGCAACGACTATATACAGCAATGTTCGGTAAATATTCAACCGAAAAATATTCTTCATAAAATTAAACCGGAGAGATAGTTAATAAGTGAATTAACTATGTTCCTAAATACATATAAGCACATGCATAGCCCTAACCTATTTAAATAAATGAATTGTGTGTGTGTGTGTGTGTGTGTGTGTGTGTGTGTATGTATATAATATTATATATAGGCTATATATATATATATATATATATATATATATACATATAAAATATTATTAAAAATATTATATATTATATACATCAGGTTACCAGTTAGCTAACGTTAGTGAAGTGTTGGTCACGTAAGCTATCGCTGCAATTAACCTATTATCTTCCAATAAACATTTACTAAAACTGGCTACATAAAATATAACTACAGACTAGATTCACGAGAGATCGGCTAATGTGTGTAAAAGTAAAAAAATACAGTAATTTCATTCATTTACCAGCGAACGTACTTCGGAAGCACTGAAAATGAATGGGGTTCAATGGGGGAACTATCAGTGTTTGGAACTATTGGCTGCTCCACGACACGCGTTACTTCCGCATTCCAAAGTTCCTATGGCGGTCTATGGGAGTGTCGCAACTCTTTCTCTCTATGGCTCTGCCCTACTCCAACGCCGCCACAGGTCTGGTATAAAAGCAGCTCATCTGCTGTACATCTCAGGCCCCGTCCACACTACTGCGTTTTCGTTTAAAAACGGAGACCTTTTGCTACGTTTGCACCTCCCGTCCACACTAAAACGGCAAAAACGGAGACCCAAAACGGAGAAGTTTAGAAACGCTGCCGACCCGTTTTTCGTTTTGAATCTCCGGAGGGCGTTTTAGTGTAGACGGGTCAAAACGGAGGACTTTAGAAACGTTGACGTAGTAGAGGCTCACGCTCGGCTCTATGATTGGGTGTCATCATCAGTCATGGCGTATATCTTTGCTAGCAGCTGTTGTACAAGTAAATTCTGCATTTTACAACGCTATAACTGCCTACATGCGCCGGAGTCAAGCTATTATTCGAGTGATCTGTGACCATTCCCGTGTGCAGCGGCGGCGTTGACCGTACGGAGCGTCGGTTTGTGGTTAACCCAGAGCATGGTGGGATAATTTTATCAATGAAGTTGTGTTTACACCGGGACGCGCATGCCCAGTGTTGGTGAATGGTCACGTGATCCACGTTTTCAGTCGTTTTAATGTGGACGGAGATCAATTCTAATACGCAGCTAAAACGCTGGTGTGGACGGAGATCGTATTCGTTTTAATTATCCGTTTCTAAACTAAAACGCAGTAGTGTGGATGGGGCCTCAGTGCAGAGAAGAGTCGACTGCAAGTCTGAATGTTGTGGAGGGCTTTTACCGTGAGGCTGAAGGAGCTCCGTTCTGAATGTCTTCAATGAGTCGCAATTTTTTTTTCATTCGTGTAAACTCGTAAATCTATCGATCTGAAGTCAGTTTATAAACTCGCTTAGAAAAGTGGAATAATAATCGTTGCTCGTTTAAAAACGGCTCAATGACATCGAACAATCTGACACAATGGAAAACAATGGACTTCGTTTACTCAATTTTTACTCACACGTACAGAAATATGTTTATTTTAATCTTCGCCGGGTTACTCGTGGACGGTGAGTAGATTGAAATGGTTTCACACTTCACTTTACAAACTTTAAAGAAAAAAATATATTAATTTAGGGGGAATCAAAGTTAAAAAAAATTCTTTGTGGTCTAGAGGTCTTGAAACTGTCTGGAGATTGTGAAAGAAAAACTTCTAATTCTGCAGGTGCAAGTAGCCTATTAAAAACCCTTACACAAATAAACCATGGTTTTGCTACACTAATCATAGTTTAGGCTAACCATGTTTTTTTTATTTGCTACTTGCAGTAAAACTGTGGTTATACAAATGGTAATCAATTTTCCAAGAAACCATGGTTACTACACTTATACTATAGTAAAACTATGGTTAATTTTATTAAGGTATGAAACCAACATGATGCTTTGTTTCTGTGTTGATGTCTTGTTGACTTATGCATTAACATTACACCGGAATCAGTGATATTCCCTGAGAACTCGTTTCTTATTCACTATTTTGTTGTTACTGTATTCACAAAATATCCTGCGGGACTTGAAATATGGCCTGTAACTTGAACAGGATTGCTGGAGGAACAAGACTTAAATGAATAGTTCACCAAAACGTTAAATTCTGTCATCATTTACTCACTCTCATGTCCAAATCAATCCTACTTTATTTCTTTTGTTGAACACAAAACTGAATTCTCTGCCTGAGAAACTGTCTCTTGTCTTCAGGTGTGTTCGGTGTTACAGGTGAAGTGAAGTCAGTGTTCGTGATGGAGGGAGAGTCTGTCACTTTATACACTGATGTTACTGAAATCCAGAAAGCTGAGCTGATACTGTGGACGTTTGGATCTGACAACACTCGTATAGCTCAGATCAACAGACAGGTCAACAAGGTCTCATTATATGATGATGTTCTTGATGGGAGATTCAGAGATAGACTGAAGTTGGACAAGACTGGATCTCTGACCATCACAAACACCACAACTGAACATGCTGGAGATTATGAACTACAGACCTTTGGTGGAAATGAGGTCCCACCGAGGAAATTCAGTATTATTGTTTCTGGTGAGTCGTTCTCTGGATGCATTTGGTTTAATTTCATTGCATTGCAGTGTCAATCCGAATCCATTGTAGAGTGAAACATGCTATTCTCTTTATTCTTTCATGCTTTCCAGGTCCTCTGCCTGTTACTGTCATCATCAGTAACTCTTCACACTGTTCTTCATCATCATCATCATCATCATGTTCAGTGGTGTGTTCAGTGGTGAATGTGTGTGATGCGACTCTCTCCTGGTACGCAGGAATGAGTGTATTGTCCAGCATCAGTGCGTCTGCTCTCAGCATCAGTCTCTCTCTACCTCTGGAGGTGGAATATCAGGATAAAAACCCCTACAGCTGTGTGCTGAACAATCCCATCAGCAACCAGACCACACATCTGGACATCAACACACTCTGTCACACATGTGGAGGTACAGCAGCACTGATATTTCACAGAGCTAATCAAGAAAGTTTCAGCAGATCTAATACTGATATGGTGTCTCTCTTTCCATGATAGCAGCAGGTTTGTCTGCAGGTGCAATAGCGCTGGTGTGTGTGTGTGCTCTGGCTCTGGCTGGAGTTGTGTGTGGTATTTACTGTTACCATCGACACAAGATGCTTAAACGGGCAGATCAAGGTGGTACGTGTTACCTAGAGCTGATTTCACAAAAGAACGCTTGATTATGCAAAATATAGTTTTGTAAGAAAGGTTACATTTACTTCTGTGTTCTTGTTTCGTATACATTCACATTCAAGACATTATCTGTGTTTTTTTTTTTTCTCAGACGGGGAAACATATAAAGAGGACAGTTGTTCACAAAATGGTAAGTTACTGTACAACTGTGTGTAACCTGGTTGAAAGTTGCTATGTCAAAAGGTGTCATTTAATAAAGTCTGTGATTTTGGTTTAAACAGGAGCAGTTCCTTTGCTGGCTGTGGAGACAGACGGTAAGATATCATGTGCTTATATTACATTGGTTCATGTTGTCGTGAAGCCGACTATCTAAGAAACAGGATTCAATAGAAACTGGCTGTGTATTTCCCAGCTAACAAAAGTGTGTTCAACATTTTGATAATGTTCACATTAAGTTGGTTATGTTTTGTTGGTTATCCGAACGATGGAGAATTCTATTTTAGAATTTTGCAAACAGTTTTAGAATGTTACTTTTAAATTTTCTCTGAACCATGATTGATACTAAGCTATAGCTATTTCGGAATGTTGAGAGAACCTTTCCCGAACATTAGCTAAACTTGATCTGGGTGTATACCAGAGCATTATAAGGTGAGGTTGAACAGAAAACTGGAGGAGCAGGTTTATAGATTGTCCTCAGGTGAGGGGTGTGACTAAGAGGATGGCAGCGTGGGTTGTAGGAAATCACATGGGAACTCCAAATAAGTGGGATAATGTACATCCAGCCGGCTGTTATCCCAGAATTAATTTGTTTAACCCAAACGCTGGGTTGAGACTGTTGGGTAAAGACGCTGGGTTGATGAAACCCAATTTGGATTGAAAGTCGTTCTTAATCTGTTAGTTTGTAAAAAAAAGAAAAAAAGAAAAAAAAAAAGGTCATGTTAACTTGTGTTAAAGAGTTATTAAAACTCCTATAATATAGCTCCAGATTTGTTTGTCAAATAGAGTAGAGTCTATAGTTTAGGCAATAAGCTATTGTTTCCGTAAACAACTTAAGTTTATGGATTTATAGTTATGAGTTTAAAGTTAAGTGAACTTAAATTTAGAAGTTTACTTGTTGCCTTTGTTTGCTTGAATAAGTTGGTGCAATATTCAAATCCTTAAAGTTGAATCTAATAAATAATTTTATAGTGTAGTGATTTCCTTGGTGGCGGATAATATAAAAAAATGTCTAATTTGGTTTTAAATGCAAATTATTATATTCATCTATGTTTATTAAAATGTTAAAAACAATTAATTTAACTATAAATTGTGTAGCTGTTGATCTGCCATTTTTTCTTTTCTTCTCAAATGCGCATTGTTTCTTTTGATTTATGTTAGCCCTTGTTCTCGTTTATAACACATTTTCCCCTTTTTATAGTCATTCTGTGTGTGTAAAAGTGATTTTTATAATTCTGATTTCTGGCTTTAGTTATAAACCCATTTTGGGTTAATTTTATTCCAATGATGTAGTTATTTAATCAACTTGCTGGGTCAAAACAACTACTACTTAGTACTACTACTTTACTACCATGCTGGGTTAAAAACAACCCAATTTGGGTTAATTTGGCAACTTATTTTCCAGAAAATGTGTTAGTAGCCTACAGCTGTGCAAACTGAAGCTCTGTGTGCTGCATTTACACCAGATTAACATTTGTGTTTGTTTTCACCAGGCGGGGACATGTCTAATCAGAAGAGAGATTTACAAAATAGTAAGTAACTATATAACTGAGGATTCATTTGGCTGTTCCTTTCAGATATCAAACACCATTCAAGAACATTACATCTACATTCATTCATTTTGTTGACGCTCTTATCCAAAGCAACCTAAACATTTTATCCTAAGGAGGGAGTAACATGGAAAATGCTGCATTGCACTACTATCCAATTGCTCAGAAAAGTACAACCTAGTGAAGATACCTGAAGAGATTTATCTGTGAGCTTCAGGATGGAGTTTGATAGTGTTAAAGGCTGCATGGAAATGGATAAACGGCTTTGTTAGCGGATAGCGAGGTCGTTCTATGAGAGAAATAAGTGTTTAGTGTTGGTTTTTAAGCAGGAGGGGTTAGAAGAGCACCTGACATGAGGGGTTATCATCTGTGTCCGTCCGTTACGCCACTGGTAGTGTATGTAAATGAACAATGTTTACCTGTTCTTATTGTTGCCTGGACTGAGAAATTCATGTTTATTTGTCAGTAAATGTCCGCCGGACGACACAAAATAGTCTGGTCACGATACTGGAATTTTCAAATACCTTGAAATATATCTGTGGCGAGCGGGACGAGCCCGGGGGTCGTGAGAGAACAGAGCGAAGCCTCGTATCTCACGGAGGAGCGGAAGCATAAAATGAGGAGCGACGACAGTGAAGGATGAGACAGGACCAGGCCTGGATTTTACGTTGTGTTTTATGTGTGTGCGGCAGTCGTCCGTGACATCCGCCATTACTTTCGTTTTGAGTTTATTTATTTATTAAAGTTGGCGATACGAGGCTGGTGACCCTCGATAGTAATGATTTAATTTGCACAATACTTAGCCAGGGCTCGAATTTTGGCGCGGGATTGCGGGTATTGCGCATAATTCTAATCATTCCCGCAGGTCTCCCATTTATAATGCGGGAAATTCCCGCAATCGTAATCCACACACATAATAAAATCAAATCATTCTTTTAACAACTATCTGCCAGACGCAATTTCACAAACAGCGTGAGTGTTCAGCGGCGCCGCGCGTCTTCTATCTCTTCTCTCCCCTATGCTTCTCTCTGTGTTGTGCAAGGCAGGCATCAAGCGCTGCGGCGATAATAATACACACTCGCGTTTTGGAGTCGGGACCATAGACTGTAAGGTCGGGACATGACGGAATATTCACTTGCACAATCGGGCCAGCAGTGCATCGTGACTGAAGTCTTTTTAAGTCTTACCAGTTTAAACATTCAAGCGATTTTAAACTAATCAGTGCTCGCGCGGTCTCTGAGATTATTTTCTCTATGCGCACATTCATAGAAAATCCGCCTCAAAAACAGCTGGCCAGTAACTATTTTCGCGGATTATATTGCTTTAACACGCAAAATTGTCAATTTCGGTCTTTGTGAGTAGGCTATACTCTAAACATAGTCGGTTTTGTCTTTAATAAGCTTAAAACGCATGCCAGTATAATGAACACAGGATCCGTGCACTAGCTCTTAAAGTGACGGCAGCCATATGTGTCTGTCATTAATTTTGTTGTCAAAACAACAAAAGATGGCTTTAAGTTAAAGGAATCAGGATTAATAGCCTATGTATTTAATTTATTCAGGACTAAAATACTACCCAGTGTTATTTTCCTTTTGATTACTTTATTCAGTTTCTGTATATGAATACTAGTGTTACACCTATTCAAAAACTTTTCTCTTTAATTATCTTTATTCTATTGTATTTATTTGTGCTACTTTTTTCAAATTAATTAAACAATTTAAATCAAGCTTCCTTGTGATGTGTAAATCCTTAACAACAATATTACCCCATTGTAAAAATGCAATGAGCGCAAACATTTAGGCAAGATAAATGTAATAATTTTGTTTGGAAAAAATGCTTTTTTGAATTCTTTCTTGACAGAATATGTTTTACTTTTACTAGTAGTCGAAGCTGAAAGAAGCATGATTTGACCACTGTATTTATGTGTTTGTCAAATTTCGTTAAAGAATTTCACATTTCAGGATTTCTTTATTGTCTTGGCCAGGTCTATAGAGAAACTTTAGAGACAGAATGAAGCTGAAATGATGGCCAGTGAGTGAAGGAGAAACTAAAACATGAGTAAACGAGATGATGGTGCGCTGTTTTAAAGTTTAAAATTTAAACTATCAACCGAGTGCTTGACCACACACTGACCCACAACTACAACACGGCGAAGGGAGTTGTCACACAGAGGAGAGATGTGTTTTTTGCAGATATTACAAATAATCAAACCAGTTTGCTGGGAGTTGTGGGAGAAAGGGTGTTGCTGTGTCCTCTGGGCAAATCCAGGTTTCAAGCCCAGGATGTTGTTGAGCTTTATTGACGGGCATTTCCACAGTCCCAAACACAGAGAGCGATGAGTAGGAGCACAGAGACTGCAGGCTTGTTGGGTCATGATGTACAGTGCTTCTCTGTTTATCCACCCTTTCAAATTTTCTAACAAAACTACTTTTTTTAACTCCTCCTAGGCTGTTGGTCCAATTGGAATGAAATATGCACGATCCGGAGACCCTCATAAAAAAATTTTATCACAATTTTTTTGTTTGATTGTTACCAATAAGCCAAATATTTTGGGCGAGTTTGTCCTTTGATAAATTATTGACTTTTATCTTCGATCTGCCAAGTCCAAACTATAACCAGCAGCATCCGAAAGATTTAACAAGTTTAGTGGCAATGACTGAAATTATGAAATTAAGTAGAGATTATTGTTATACACGGAGCCCTAAAGGGACATGGGAAAAAAATGAAATAAAGGAAAAAATATTTATCAATGTTTTTGCGGTCCCCATGAGAAACTTTGCAAAGTTACTGCAAAGGTTTTGCAAGCAAACGCAAAGTTTCTCGGGGAAGCGCAAAAGTATTGATTTATTATTTTTCTCCCAACTCATATTTCTTCCCACCACCATGTCCCTTTAGAGCCTCCGTAGTTATACAGGCTGTAGGAAGTCACAAAGTTAGTTGTTTCCATCCAAAGTTGTGAATTAAAATGGAATGGCGCATAAAAACATTTGCTCAATAGTTCGATCACATCTGAAAAACTGTTTCTGTTTGTTCTCCAGGTGTGTTTGTTAAGGAGGATAAGATCACGTCAGTGTCAGTGATGGAGGGACAATCGGTCACGCTACACACTGATGATGCTGAAATACAGGGAATGGACATGATATGGTGGAAGTTTGCGGATTCCAAAAAACACAATGCTAAATTTGTTGTCATAGCAACACTGAATAAAACAAACAATGATGAACTTCCATTTAATAAAAAAATTCTCAAATTCAAAGACAGTTTGAAACTGGACCACAACAGCGGATCTCTCAGCATCACGAACATCACAGCTAAACTCTGTGGACATTATAAACTCCACATCACCAGCGAGGGACACATGAGCATTCATACATTCATTGTGGCTCATGTGAGTAGGTCTTTCAAAGCTTCAAAATGCCTTACTAAGATAAAAACTATTAATAATTGGTTCCATTTTATAATTGGTTCCATTTATATAGCGCTTTACATATGGACGGGCAAATCTCCTCAACCACCACCATAAAGACAGATTATAAAAGAAAGGAATACAGTTATATGTCATTTGCATCTTTTTTATTAAACAGAGATGAATTATGTAGTTTTTCTGTCTTTGTCAGAGCTCTTTCATTGTGAATAGTTAAAAATCACTGTAGTGGGAAGACTAATTTAAGTTGTAGATTGATGAGAACATTCAAATACTTTCCCTATTTTTACCTTCTGTGATTCTTTATTTTCTTACAGGTTCCATTGAATAGAGAGCGGACCATAAGCCGGAGACAAACCTGCCCTTGATTACAGTATATAAACATGTATACTGTATATCATCTACATTTGAATTCCACTGACAAAAAAAACAAGAAACATTTTGCTATTTTTTTTTAACCATCTAACATCCCTAATGACAAAATGCCTTAACGATAAAGATAAGAGTTCTGTACGGCGGACATAAAACATAGGCTATGTATATGTTTAGTCACACTACACCTATTTCTCAGGAGAAAGGAGCTATTAAACACAACAGTTAATTTGTGTATATTACTTTAAAACTGCTGAACTGTTATTATACTAGTATTTTAGTATTAACTCTTTTAAGTTTCATGTAAACCAGAATATTTTGTTGTACGAATATATATCAAAAGAAAGAACATAAAAACAACATTTTTTCATAAAAAACAACATTTTGAGCAAAAAGCTGAGAAAATCACGTTTTTGTCAAAGACTACATCCAGATCGGATTCAGAACGATGATCAAAACACAGATGTAGTAATCGAGTCCAGCAACACCCATAAAGCTTCACAGTCCAGTAGCTCATCCTGGGTCGACATTTCATTCAGTAACACTAGGCAGTTTTGATTTATTTGCTGTTTGATGTTGATAATCTCGTTATTTTACATATGCATATGATTACATAGATCTCTTGTTTTTGCATCTTCTTCCCCTGTGTTTTGATCAGGAGATTCAGTACTCGTAGGCTACAGATGATGTGTAATACCGCCCCCTGCTGTATAACAGTGAAAGATGGAAAATTCCGTCAATGGCAGGGAAAGAGTTAATAGTAAAATAGTTTTTTTTTTGGCGTTTTCATTATATTTCATTTATATATAAAGTATTTAATGAAGTCATGACATGTGAAATCAAATGTGCCTTGATATTTTGACATATAAGAGGTCTTTGCAGGCTGCATCATGCAGGTTTATTATAGACAAAGCGTTTATTTAATCAAGCAAAAAGTGATGAAAACCGAATAAACTGCACTTGTTAAATATTTCCATGCAACTTAAGAATCATTGTAAAACAATATATATATTTTTAAATATACAACCTTTTATTTGTACAGCTTTGTAAATTTCTTTATGTTTTATATTTTTGATATGTTTATATATATATATATATATATTCATAGGCTATAGTACACATTTGTAAAGAAAAATATGTTTTAATCAAAGCTATGTGTTTGGTCCTTATGTTCAAAATATCACACATTTAAATGTGCAGATGTGTTTGTAGATTATGTGCTGAACTGCAATCGAATCATTCATGTTTAAACATCACATTTCGTGCATTGAAATTAGTAAAATATGATGATGTAAGAAAAAAAAACGAAATTCAGAAACTTCTGAGAAGAGCAAATCAACTTTCAAACACATTTATGACGGGGGTGTCACATTCTTACAAGTTGTTTAAGGCAAATATTGTTAATTATAGGTTTGATTGAGTATGTTATTTACTTGATGTTTGTTTAGGCTCAACCACTGAAGAATCGATATTGCTGGCCACTTTATCACTTTAAAAAAAAGTACGTTTTCAAATATGACCATAACTGCTTCAAAATCACTCATACGTTGATAAAAAAACTCGAGGTAACCAGGGGGCGGGGCTTTGACGTCATCCCTGCATCAGCGAATCACCTTCACCGAGAGGCGGTGCAACATTCACGACTTTCACTTTTACAGAGAAGGCGCCTCTTTTGAATTTTAAAAAGTAGTTGTAACCAGGAATGCAGTATGACGCTATTGTTGATGGCTAATTCTGAGAGTATCCCTCACACACAGCACAACACGTACCGACGGTAAGACGGCTTTCTCAATTTAAACTGCACGATGTAGTTAAATATATAAATCTATCATCATTCATTTTCATTGTATTCGTGAGATTCGGAAGGGTTTTTAGGCGTGTGATATTGAATTATTGTTGTATTTAGTCAGTATGTAGCCTACCATGATTTAAGGCGCAATGTGTGATAGAATGACTCTTATATTTATACATGTGCAATAGATTTATTTTTATTTTTTTAAAGAAACGACTATGCATAGGTACATTTTTGAATTTATTCATTCAAAATTCTGTTTCATGGCCTGTTTCAATTCAACACTCTTTGACAGACTTGCGGGGAAATAGCTTGCACACAAATCATGCAGAGCGATTCATGTTTCATTCATTCCATTGAACAAAATAGCTGTCAGTTAACAGACTTGGACCAATCAGGTTTACCCTCTTCTGTTAAAGCCAAGATAGGCGGTACTTATCACATTTGAAATACATTTTTTTTGATAATGATGGCTGAATATTTTGAATTTATTTTTGTACACTTGACATTGCTCAGTATAATTGTTATTTAAATGTTCTCTCTTGATTTTCAGATGCTGTTTCATCTATCTGTTGGTACTGTTGATAGATACAGGTAAGTTAAGAACAGAGCAAATACTGTACAGTAGTAGTGATGGTCTATCTAGAAACACTGAAGCTTAGAAACCTTTATGAATCTTTTGTTTAGAAATATTTGCCAAAGACTTTGGCAAATATTTCTAAACAAAAGATTCATAAAGGTTTCTAAGCTTTTTTCTAACTTTGGCCCAAAGTCACGTGATTTCAGCAACGGCTCTGTAAATAATCTTTTTATTATTGTTATTATTTGAATGTTCACCGCTAGGGGGCAATGATCACTGTGAACCCATGAGTCATGCGGATTCAGTGAGATCCAAATCCAAAAACCCCAGCGGCGAACATAACCATTGAACAAATATCTATGGTTTTTACCTGATCTCTCATCAGTTTTATACATTTGTGGACGTTTAAATGAGACATTAGTATAATTGAAAGGAATAATAGTAGTTAATATAGCCTAGTTGAGCAATCCATGGAACAAACAAAACAAGCCCTGGAAATTGATAAAATAACACATATTACACAGACACTTGATATTAATCTTATTAGCTGATTAGTTAATTGCATTTGATAGATTTTACTTTTAAAAAAAAACATTTGGAATGGGTTTGTAAAAGGTGTTTTACGCACGTTTGACCTGAGTTTCTGTTGCAAACACTGTTGTGACCAGCAGAGGTCCCCAAAACATTTCCAGCATGATTTAAGAAGTTGCAAAGAACATTTTACATTTGAATGAAATAAAATCTGACTGTACAAAGAGTCACTGATCAATGTAAATGTTTAAGCTACACTTGATTCGGACCTAGAAATCAGGACATAATTGTATTAATATTAAATATTTGAAAAAACAAACAGATTTGAACCACACTGCATAATAATAGTGAATATTTATGTCAAATTAAAAAAAAAGTTGTGTTTTCTAGCCTCTCAGCACAGGTCGGCTGAAGAGGGCGTTGAAGGAGGCTCTGTTGTTTTGCGGTGCAGTCACAGAAGCTTTTTACTTGAAGACAAACAACTGACAGTCTACTGGAGACACAACGACAACAGGAATGTATTCGATTTTATCCATGGAGAAGTTTCTGTTGAGGATCAACACCCAGCGTACAAGAACAGAGCAGAAGTTTTACCTGAAGAGCTCAAGAATGGCCGAATCTCACTCAAACTCACCGATCTCCAGCTCTCTGATGGAGGAACGTACATCTGTTTCGTTCCAGATGTGGGAGTTCATCACAGTACACAACTGGTGGTCAAAGGTGTGTTGTAATGCCTCCTAATTTAATACATTTGGAGTTTCTATGTGATTGCAATCTAAACAGAGTTGGTATAAATAGTCAAACATGTTGTATTGTTTTTGCATGGCAGATAGTACACATTTTGGTCTATTAGCAAAATATCTAATAGTTTTCAAAGAGTTTAATTTTATTCCTAATTTTTGCCTTCACAGAACGGCCAGTAACAGAACACAGAGCAGCTCAAGTGAGAAGCCACGGTACAGACACAAGCCTGGGAAGATCTCTGCAACTCCTACTTTTACCGGGATTCATCCTGCAATTTATTTGATTCTGCTCGTGGAAAACTGGAAGACCATTTGAACTCACTCTCTTGCACTATAAAGATGAAGGTCTCACCCTCCTCATCCTAATCTACATCTCTTTCCCTCGACCCCCACTCCCTCCCACTCGTGGTGAGATCTCCCAAACTCAAACAATAATCTAAATGGTTTAATGGAAATGATTATCATCGAGTTTTATACATGTATGTTATTTGGGCGGCAGTGGCTCAGTGTCTACAATCCGGAAGGTTGGTGGTTCAATCCCCGGTTCCACCTGACCAAGTGTCGAGGTGTCCATGAGCAAGACACCTAACTCCAGCTGTGTGTGTGTGTGTGTGTGAGACACCTAACCTCAGCTGCTCCCGTCGAGCTGGATGGCGCCGCCTTGCATGGCAGACACCGCCATCGGTGTGTGAATGAGTGTGTGAATGGGTGAATGTGAGGCAAATATGTAAAGCGCTTTGGTGGCCATTGGTCTGTTTAAAGCGCTATATAAATGCAGTCCATTTACCTTTTTTTTTTACCATTTTTTTATTTGAAATGTCTCAGTGCGACTGGTACAAATGTCTCATTCCCAAAAAAGTAAACCAAAAGGTAATAAAGTTCTTAAGAAATTAGAAATATCTTGCTCACAGAAGTGCGTGTCTTACAGACAAATTGCCCTCTCAGAAGGGTTAACAGTGTCCCGCTGTTAGCAAATGGTTGCCCCCAGTAAGCCTGGGACAGTAAGGTAATTTTCCACTGTGAACCCATATTTACATTTGAAATTAGGTCTGTCTATATAATGAAATGCAGCGAGAGCTCAGGGCCTTTTTCTGTATCTGAGATCGGCCCGATGTCGGGTAAACATTTTATTGATGTATATATTTTACTTGTTTAAATGTTTGTTTGTTTATAGATGATGTGTTATACTACCTTTTTTTACACTACACAATGCAAACCAATACTAAAAATGAAAAGTTTTTTTTTTTTTTTTTACATTTACTCAGATATTTTTAAGATGACAAAGTTTAAAGCCCTTTCTGGCTAGCGCGATTTGTAAAGAAAATATTTTTTTAATCAAAGCTATATGTGTTTGGTCTATATGTTCAAAATATCACGCATTTAAATGTGCAGATGTGTTTGTAAATTATGTACTGAACTGGAATCGAATCATTCATTATTTAAAAATCACATTTCATGCATTAAAATGAAGAAATAAAAACAATAAAACGAAATTCATAAACTTCATTGAGAAGAGCAGATCAACTTTCAAACACATTTATGACGGTGGTGTCACATTCTTACATTTTATTTAATAAAAATAGTGTTGATTATATGTTTGATTGAGATTATTAAGATGCATGTTATTTACTGGATGTGTAGGCTATACCCATTCAGTTTGCTTTAACTTGTCAATGTATGTTTCTTTGGGCTCAACCGCTGAAGAACCGATATCGCTGGCCATAAGCAGTATCACTTAGTTTTAAAACGTACGTTTTTAAATATGACCATAACTGCTTCAAAATCACTCATACGTTGATAAAAACACTCGAGGTAACCAGGGGGCGGGGCTTTGACGTCATACCTGCATCAGCGAATCACTTTCATTTACGGACATTCACGAACATTCACGACTTTCACTTTTACAGAGAAGGCGACTTTTAAAAAAATTATTTGACTTGTAACCAGGAATGCAGTATGACGCTTTTGTTGACGGCTAATTCTGAGAATATCCTTCACACACAGTACAAGTACCGACGGTAAGACGGCTTTCTTAAGAACTGCACGATGTAGTTAAATATATAAGTATATCATCATTCATTTTCATTGTAGCCTACTCGTGAGATTCGGAAGGGTTTTTAGGCGTTAGATATTGAATTATTGTTGTATTTAGTCAGTAGGCCTAGTCTATGTCCCATGATTTAAAGCGCAATATGTGATAGAATGACCCGTATATTTAGCCTATACATGTAGGCCTACAATTAAACATTTAATTTTGAATTTAACAATACTATTACAACATTATTTTCCTGTTATCTCTGTAAGCTGCTTTGAAACAATTTGTATTCTAAAAAGCGCTATATAAATAAAGGTGACTTGACATTTGAAAGACATTTTTTTTATAATTATGGCTGAATATTTTGAATGTCTTTTTGTACACTTGACATTGCTCATCATAATAGTTATTTAAATGTTCTCTCTTGATTTTCAGATGCTGTTTCATCTATCTGTTGGTACTGTTGATAGATACAGCAGGTAAGAACAGAGCAAATACTGTGATGGTCGATCTAGAAACAATGAAGCTAAGAAATATTTATGAATCTTTTGTTTAGTGGTTAGCCTGTATCAAATTGCCCAAGTCAGCTGATTTGTCCTGCGGCTCTGAAAAAATATATATTTACAGTAGTATTGAAATGTGAATGGTTCACCGCTAGGGGACGATGATCACTGTTAACATGAATCATGCGGATTCAGTGAGATCGCCCCCCAGCGGCGAACATAACCATTGAAATAATATCTATGGTTTTTACCTGATCTCTCATCAGTTTTATACATTTGTGGACGTTTTAAATAGACATTAGTACAATTGCAAGGAATAATAGTAGTTAATAGTCTCTTATTGGTTTGTTTAGTTGAGCAATCCATGGAACAAACAAAACAACTCCTGGAAATTGATAAAAGAACACATTACACAGACACTTGATCATTAATCTTATTAGATGATTAATTGCATTTTATAGAGTAAAAAAAGTAAAAAAAAAAAAACATTTGGAATGGGTTTGTAAAAGGTGTTTTATGCATGTTTGGCCTGAGTGTCTGTTGCAAATACACCGTTCTGACCAGCAGGGGTCGCCAGAGAGGCGTTTCGAACGCTTCCAAACAGTGAATCATTTTACGAAGCAATTGGTTAAATTGATTTGAAGCTTTTGTCCCATCACTATTGTACAGTAGGGTACTAAGGTTTTAAACACCTAGTGAAACGTTTTACTTTGCAGTTTTATGAATTAATACTTTTTTTTTTGCCATTACAATTTATTTGCAAAACATTTCCATCATGATTTAAGAAGTTCCTAAGAACATTTTACATTTGAATTAAAGAAAATCTGACTGTACAAAGTTACTGATCAATGTAAAATTTTAAGCAACATTTAATTTCGGACCTAGAAATTCAGAAAGAATTATAATATTAAATATTTGAGGAAAAAAATAAACAGATTTTCTGTGTGGTTTCAGACTTTTGGACCCCACTGTATAATAGTAGTGAACAATTAAATTTATAAAATTAAAACAAAGTTGTGTTTTCAAGCCTCTCAGCACAGGTCGGCTGAAGAGGGCGTTGAAGGAGACTCTGTCGTTTTGCGGTGCAGTCACAGAAGCTTTTTACTTGAAGACAAACAACTGACAGTCTACTGGAGACACAGCGACACCAGGAATGTATACGATATTATCCATGGAGAAGTTTCTGTTAAGGAACAACACCCAGCGTACAAGAACAGAGCAGAAGTTTTACCTGAAGAGCTCAAGAATGGCCGAATCTCGCTCAAACTCACCGATCTCCAGCGCTCCGATGGAGGAACGTACATCTGTTTCGTTCCAGATGTGGGAGTTCATCACAGTACACAACTGGTGGTCAAAGGTGTGTTGTAATGCCTCCTAATTTAATACATTTAGAGTTTCTATGTGATTGCAATCTAAACAGAGTTGGTATAGTCAAACATGTTGTACAATATTGTGTTTGCATGCCAGATAGTACATTTTTAGCTCTATTAGCAAAATATCTAGTAGTTTTATAAGTGTTTCATTTTCTCCTAAACTCCTAATTTTTGCCTTCACAGAACGGCCAGTAACAGAACACAGTACAGACACAAGCCTGGGAAGAACTCTGCCACTCCTACTTTTACCTGGATTCATTCTGCAATTTATTTGATTCTGCTCGTTCTATTGTTCCAATAATGTATACATTTAATTTGTTTAAATGTTGTTTGTTTATAGATGTGCTTTACTACTTTTTTTACACTATGCAAATGAATAGTGCATTAAAAATGGCAATTACAAATGAAAAGTTTTCTCAAAGGCCTTTTCAATTAAAAACTACAGCTTTAAAAGAAGAATGAATGATTTTTGTATTCATTAATTTGAGGTTCTGTGTTCATTCATTGAAAGGTGATGATTAGGATTATCGATTATGAAGAACAGGCAGAGAATGATAGATAGTCAGTGAAGCCTCTGGAGTAAAAATGGCTAAGAAACATGAAAAGCACACACAAGTTTGCGGCCAGTACAAATTGTATTGTAAGAAAATAATTAGTTTCATTTCTCCAATAAATGCATAAAGCATCACGAGGACTCAGAAACAGCGATACTAAGAGGCACATTCGGTCCACATGATGCAAAACAGTTGACATCCAGGCGGCATTCGTTCCATACTTTTCAATCATGACAACATTCAACACCAGACGTATCGCTTGACTTTAGTATTAAACATAATGGCTTGGCCACTAACTGTATTTAGTCCTACACAAAGCTATTCTGAATAGACATCCACGCAGATCCAAAGTGTCATATCGCTTACCGGAATTAAAAAAAGAAAAAAAGAGTTCCGAGTTATTTTGGGAAATTGCGTTCGGTTATGGCATTCTGGTCCAAGAGGAAAGTGTCTAGTGCTGCATCTTTCCCTCTAGTCAAAACTTGTCCATTGAGTGTTTGTGCAGAACTTTAGGGAGGATCTACAGGTTAAAAGTCTTTAAAGATGAACCAAACATCAAGGCGATATTCCTCATGGTTGAATTAATTTTTCCTGTTCGTTAAGGACACAAAAAGGTGCAGGACTGTTTTTTCTTGATGCTAAAAAAAAAAAAAAAAAAAATCAAGCAACAAACATTGACATGTCAACGTCTGTATGCAAGCATGAATCTGAGTCTTAAAAAAAGTCTCTTAAAATCCAATATATTATTAGTATGGAAAAGTGCTAGGTGAGACAATTCTCTTTATCAGTCACTATGACCGTGGCAAAGCAGTCACCGCCAATGGCGACAACCAATCGAAAGGTTCTTTCGAGAGCAGGCAAGCTTTGCGACTCAAACCGTGTCGTTTACGAAAGCAAGGTCCGGGTCGGAGAATCGCCGGGAGGAGGTCTGGAGCTCCTGTGTGCTGGAGGCGTCTGAGGACTCGGTCGAGGACGGGAAGAGGAGATCTGCTCCCGCTGTGATGTAGAGGGACTGGATGCTGTCTTTGCGACGGCCGGGATTCTCGCGCCGCTGGAAGAGGGTGAGCGACAGGGATTTTCGGGGAGGGAGAGACCGTACAGCCGGGTGGCACAGGACTCCTGGGGGAAGTTTGACCGTTCCTGGGATGATAGGGTGGCGACGCTGGAGCTGAAGCCTGGGAGAAGACAGTGAAGGAAGAGAGGAGCCGTCAGCCCGAGTGCTGCCTCCCTGGGCCAGGACGACAGACTTAGGAAGGCAAGCTGCTTTGGATAATCTTGGCACTATCATTGGTTGTCCTACAATAGGGAGACAGAACCAATCAACCCCCAAAGCAGGAGAAAGCCCAAAAGCAGAACCCAAGACATGCCACCAAACAGTCATTAAAGGAAGACAACATGCAGTGTCTCATTCAACATACACCCTTTCTAAATGTTATAATCATTTGTTAACAAACTTCACTTCAATGAGCTCATTGTTTCTGCATTAAATTATTACATTGTTTAAATTAATACCTTTTTCGCCGTGATTTTGTACATTTCTAAAATACACAACTTAGACAGTTACCTCTGATAACAGATCACTCTAAATTGTAATGTGGACTCATGCATTTTCTGTAAAGCTGCTTTGAAATGATGTGTATTACAAATAAATGTGAATTGAATTCCGTCACCGCAAACATGCACATAACACCGAAAACACTTGGGTTAGAAGAGATCACAACCTGCTACAGAGTGGACGGCACCGCCACCCTCTTTAAATGCGCCAGGAGCATCCCGTCCAGACCTGCGCTACACACAACAGGGACACGACCCACACATGGGTGACTACTGCAGAGGAGAGAAAAGGAGATTGGTCCGGAACGGAGGGAGTCTGTACCTTAATACTGACCTTCCGTGTCCGAACAAACTGCTCGCTCGTCCAGTAGACTCTCAGAGCTGACTGACGCCTCCGAGTCAAGGTTCTCCTGGTCAGAACCGGGCTGGTCGAGTTCAGGTAGCCTGCAGGCCAGGTCCTCTCTGGAAGACAAACACCATTCAAGAGTCATGCAATCCTGTCTCGAATGATGATCCAAGTGGTCTTGTGAGATTTCTTCTACATACTTTTCTTGCTTGATGGACTTGATCCTTTCCATTAGGCTTCGCTCAGCTTCCGCGTCTGAATCCAGGGGCTCGTTCTCGGGTACAACACGAAGGTCGGAAGCTGGCTTCTCCCGAACCTAGAGTCCAAATAGATAGCAAATTTAACTCGAGATAATGAGACTGACATTAAAGATTCTTGCCTCATTGCCACAAAAAGGGAAACACAGAAAGGAGGTTCTTCAGTGAAGGGTCTACAGCACTAAATCATTTGACTCTATTATGTTCCCGTTCAGTTGGTCTAGCCCTGTTTACACCTTGTATTAAGATGCGTTTTGGTGGATCGGATCACAAGTAGACGAGGCAGACGTACCCTTTTCCCCCTTGTGTTCTTATGTCCACTTTCAACCATTTCTGTCCGGATTTCTTCGAGCCAAGGGTCGATGGGCGGGTAAATGTATGTGCTTTTTCAGATCTTTCGATCTAATTGACAACATAAGCTTGCGCATCTTACATATGAACGCGAAAGGAGTTAACGGAAAATCATACGGAGAGCAGCAACTTTTGTTTCTGCTTTGAGAGCCGAAGACCAGCCGAACGCTGTGAGTGTGTCAGAAATCAGGAATAGTGAGAGAACATTGTGCTTGGTACGTTGTTGGTCTTCAAATCAAACTTGGGTCTTCAGTCGACATAGTTTAAACCCCTTCTGGCTAGCGCAATTCCCATAACGTTTACGCATTTGGTCAGTAGGCGAGAGTAGACGGTCTTTTGTGGCTGTTCGAATGCATTTAACCACATGAGCCTTTACACCACGAAAGCAGTCGGATCTAATGCGCTTTTTGACTACCTCTGGAAGTGGTGGAAAGTGGACAAACTCAATATGTTTTCGACCCCGTTTACACCTGTATACACCTGTACACCCACTTACACCTGTACACCCGCTTACACCTGTCCACTTGTGATCGAATTGATGAAATTACTTTAAGTGTGGCACAACCATCCCTTTCAAAGTGGAAATGAAGAGTGCTAGAGATGTTTCATAAAAGTAAGTCTGGAAGAAGGAAAGGTTCAACCATTTGAATGGATGTTAAATTTCATTAAGGAACTAAATACAATTCAAGTCTGGAAGTTTCCATGGCATGAGATGCAAAGGTTTGTAGGAATCAAAAACAAAAGACTAACAGTCAGACTTTACAACTTATTTGTCTTCATGCTGTATACTATTAATGTTGAAGAAAGACCAATTTAAAAAACAAATTGCCTGTTGCTTAATATACAAAAAGAAAGCGTATTGCTTAATATTCAGCACAACTGATTTCACATAGCTTTGTAATTCATGCCATTCACTGTAGTGACCACCCGAAACCAGCCCACATCTACACCGACACCCTCTTGAATGTCTACAGGTCTAAAGTGACACTAACACATGCAGTGGCTTTAGTTAGTATTAGTAGGGTATGACTTCCGCACTGCATGCACACTGGATGCATGAACATGCCACACTACTGGGGTTCACAATACCACAGGGGCATACGTACCGCCACTTCTTTGTAAGGAGTGATAAATCTGAGAGGTAAATGCCAGCACTACAGAGACATTAAAAAAAGAGAAGCAAAAAAAGTGTTGCGACAGTTACTCTCTGTTGGTGCCTTGTGGAAGGTTGCGGACTGTTGGGAAAAGTAGTTGTTCAAGGGGGGGAAAAATGGGCATTTTTCACAGGCATCTAGAAACAAACCACTTCCAAATTATGCAGAAATGCATTCTGATAAACGACAGGTAAGGCAAGGTAAGTCAAGTTTACCGTGTTTTGTCTTTTTAGCTTGAGCTGATTGACAGCCAATGCCTGTGCGTATTCCAGCTGCTCGATCTCCTCCATTTTATCGTTGTATCTCCGGATCTGCTCCTGAAGTATCAACTCCACACAACTGAGGATAGTAAAGATTCAGTCTTGAGACTTCACTTTAAAACAACAGATTCTTATTAAGGACACACTATAACTTGCTGTGTTCTTACGTGGTGGTTTTGGCAACGTCCTTCATGCTCATGAGCGGGTCGGCGCTGTCCGGACAGCGGAGAATGCAGGGGGCAAAAACAATGGCCAGAGAGTTTGGCGTCATCCGATTGCTCTTCTCCTCCTTCGCAACCCTGAAATGAAACCAGAGCATTAACACCTGACTGCTGCACGGTTTTCTACACACAGCGTTTGCTGTGTATGGAATAAACTCATCTGTACCTGACAAGGTGGAAAATGAGTCTCTCTAAGGTGCTGAAGTTTGCTGTTGGAAGCTGTTCCAAAACTTTGTAAATGGCTTGCAATTGCTCTAGCTTCTCAGGCAGTTCTATGAAAGACAACAAAAGCGTTATAACAAGCCTGAGGGATACCATAAGGGCAAGAGAAAGGTGTCATGGGGACCAACCTATGGCACGAAGGAAGTCATTGTAGTGCGTGAAGGTCAAGAGAGGTTCGGGCAACTCCCTTAGCCACTGTTTGACCAAGCCAGTGACGGCATGGATGGGGTAATCCTCCAGACAAACATTCTCTGGTCCTTCACAAGTCATTAAACAAAGTTATCAAAGTGGGCAGAGTAAGCTACTAGACCTCATGCCAACAGTTAAGTCTAGCTATGTGAGACTAGAAAGAGGTCGTCTTCCCAATGTGCCATTGAGTTCTAGTAATATCCATGATGGCTCACCTGCTTCCAACAGCTGGTGTAGCTCCTTCATGCGATTAGCTGAGCCGGACTTCCTATAAATGCCCTCTGTGTACAGGCCGTTCATTTCCACGTGTTCCATCATTATCTCCAGAACCACTGGCACAGGGGTCTTGCTATTGACCAGGTGGCACACGCGCACACCAAAGTGTTGTGATCCAGACTCATCATCACACTAGACCCAGAGCACACAAAGATCAACAAGATGATAAAATGACTGCTTCTCCAAAATGCTTAGGATTGTATTCTTACCTTCTTGGAGCCGAATGTAGAGCAGTCTATGACGATTTTACTAATGCACTTCTTATGGCAAACCATTTTGCAATCTGAAACAAAAATTGTTTGTCATAAATATCGTCAGCCCGATTGAAGGTGAATCAATAGGATACATATCAGAGATACTCACAACTGCACATGTAGGCCTTCTCCATACCCCAGATGTATGAGGTGCACTGATCACAAGACTGAATGATATTGACTTGGTAGTTTGTAAACACATGGTCCAATGGATTCTCCAACTAATTCCAGACAAAATGTTTACATTTATTTACATTGCAGAGTCAGTCTGAGAGAATGGATGGTAGGATAGAAATACTTACGCTTTTAGCCTTCTTCCTTCTCATCTTACGACCTTTGGGGGGCTAAGACAAATTTTTCCCAAGGTAAGATAAAAAGTTAGCATGTATTCTAGTTATCAACAGAAATAACTGTTATTTAAATCGTATAATGAAAGTCTTGAGGGGTAATGGGGGATGCATGAACTTTCACCTTGGCTGGTTCGGCCTCTTCTTTTTTGATCTCCGCTCTGATGAAGCCGTCCAGAACTGACTGGAAGAGATTGACGACCAGCGGTACCTCACCCTTCTGCTTTTCTCCAGCCAGACTGATCACTTTATTCTGGTAGCAATTCATCAAAGCCTTATACCCGATTTGTGACTTCTGTAGATGCGTGAAGGAAGAAGAAATCAATAACTAGATGTTTAAGTATTCTGAATAGAAGTTGTGTTTGCCCACGCAAAGCTATTTCCAGGGTTTTTTGCTTTCTGGTTGCTAAGATGCTTTTGTGCACATTGCTGTGCAGTTGTTAGCATAATGTGAGCAGTTGCTTGCAAGCCCAAGTCAAAATATCTCAAGTCCCTCTATCAATGAAAATATCATCAAGTGATACAATAAGATTAAGACCATTGTACAAATGGTTTGGTATATTCCTAAATTTAAACCTCAATGTTAATGATTTGAGCAAACTTATTGATTGATTGACCTATGATTGACCTAGCAAATCGATTGATGGGATCTGGAGTATGTGGTCTACTGCAGTTTTGGGGTGTGTTGGTTGTATTAGCTCTACTCACAGAGATTGAGTACATCCCCTTGATGTTTTCTCTAAACTGCACAGTGGCTGTAATGAAGATGTGCTCCGTTCCTGAAAGCTGTTTTCCCCGTGAGCGCAGGTCATTCACCTACACCGCAAGAGGGAAAGATGCAAAGTCTGTCAGAAATTGTATATATTATACACAGTTTTTTTCTTTTTACACTCTTTAATCACTACAATAACCATACAATTAACTATCAAACATCTTGCAGTCATATCCATTCTTCATACCTGATTGCCCAGAAACTCATCGAGGTTGCGTAGCTCATTCGTGTTGGTGATCACACGGTTTAGCGAGGCGTTCCACTGCTCAGAGGCCCGAGTCGTCGAGTGACTGATCATGATGCTGGGCGTCCGACCTAGTCGTCCCGGATGAGTCTTTGAATTTTGTGAGCGTGATGGAGAAGTGGCTATGAAAAAAGAACAATAGAATGAATGAAGGAAGAATACATTGATCTAAATGAATCATTGTGTTATCTTCGTAGTGTGCACCTTCTCTTTGATCCAAAAAGGAAGCCATGCTCAGGTCTCCATCTTCTGGGGTCTGAGCTTCTTTATGTGGACGCTTCTTCAGGATCTTTCTGAAAAACCCTGTTGTCCTATGAAACAAAAAACGTACCATTTCATAAAGTTAGCTGTTACAAGGCTTTGTTTTTTTAATTAATAAACACCCTAGCAAAACATGCTGGGAGGTCCCGTAAGGATTTGACACAAAACACTCAAGAAATCACACACCTCTGCACAAAGTAAGGAATTTTAGGAATCTCCCGCTCTCATAGCAGATGCCTTTCATCCATATATAAAGGAGTATGTAACCTATGCCAGGAGTCAGACAAATGACTACCACTGATGTGAGCCAGTGGCCTTGTTTTCCCATGAGTTCAAATGAGTCAGATTTCCTGTGTGACCATGTTCTACTACTGATAAGAGTATACATTTGAGTGGGATGAGTCAATTATCTCTTTATTTTGAGTCGTGCAAATAAAGCAACAGCCTGACACATAGTCTATGCAAATATGTGAAAAAAAGTTTCTCACTTTATGCTCAGTTTCACGCATTGTGAAATGTGTCAAAATGAAGGTCATAACACAATGCAAGTACGCGTTACATTATCAAGGGATGCTCTAGAGGACGCTAGAATAAACTGTCCTCTTCTACAGTCTGATTTGTCTTGTTGAACAACATTTTGAAAAGAATAAAAGGTAGTTAATACTGGTAGGTAGGACAGTACCTCTCTGGGGTCGATGGCTGGAGAGGCGATACTTCTTGCAGGCTGTGGCTGTCGTGAACTTTTTCCTTCAACGTGTTGGCCTTTGTTCTATCAGGACCAGCACCAGTGCTGGACTGTGTCTACACCAAAATTAATGAGCACAGTAAATGTATTAGTTTAATACAGCACAGTCCAGTGTACAGTAACAACCATTTTTGCTGATTAGATAACAATGGCATAATGGTCAGTCTATAAAGGTTCCTTCTTCCTGTGTAGATAACATGTTTAAAGGAAGTTAACGTGTAAATGCATCCCTTCATTTATCCCAAACCGAGTAATTACAAAGTGATCATTTACTTAAAAAAAGAATCAAGAATGGAGCTTTGAAAGACAAACAATATGGAAAGATAGAAGAAATAAGTCAACCAAAGTCTAAATTTTCTGCCATTACTAGTTGAGGTTTTAGTCTGTTATCCCATAAGCCCAGTTGCAAAACCCACTGAGCTGTCAGAATAAAAACTGCAGTGCAATGCGTTTTTCTTTTCAATCAGAGCAAGCTCTACTGTGTTGGCAGTTTGACAACAGGTCGCTCATTTAAATCTGACAATACAGCATTTGAAATGCTGTGTCCTAAAATAACCTCTGGCTATTTGATAACAGACTAAAGGTCTTCAGGATCATTTATTTTCCCTCAGTGTAGAAAAAGTTCAAGATATCTGCAATACTGCAATCCCTCCCATGATTCCAAGCACTTAATCCACCAGCAACCAGCACACCACAGCTCCCTGGACGGCATCTAATATCAGGCTGCAATACAACACCTCAAATGGACTCATAGGGGGCAAAGGAACAGCCCAGTACTCTGCATCCTCAATTTCAACACTTTTAATGGGCATACATATACGTGCAAGGGCGAGCCGCGGCCTGCGTCTTGGACGAGCTTTTCCCTAAATCAGCCAGAGAAGCATAATTTCTTAAATTTAAGTGATTGTTTCATTTATAATCCTAAATTACCAATGTAACCACAGCAGCAGTAAAAACAGCAGATTTCATGGTTGACTACAGAGACTAATTAGCCGCTATGGGAAGCTTGGAGTGAAATTTAATTTCAAGGCACAGAATCAATATACCCCTTCACGTTTATCATTGTATGAACCAGCTGAATCAAGTAAATGTTACCTGTGATGAGCCACCTGAACCTATTTTGGATACATCATCTAGTGACATAGAGATCCCGCGATTCCTGGTAAAATTTGGAAAACCAGATGGAAAAAACATTGTTAGACTCAGAGGAGATGAAGAAAGGTAGAAAGGTAGAACAACATAGGAAGCCATACTGGAGAGATTTGATGTTCCTCTCCTCCAGACTGCGGGGTCCTGCCATGAGGTTTTCTGGCTGAGTGTTGCTTCTCGATGGTTCCTTTCTCCTGTTGGCCTCTTCTTTGGCAAGAGGAGGTTGAGCAGCGATGGCTGGGTCGCTGTAGCCATTTCTTCCAGGCCCAGAAGTAGGGATGTCTAAGGGTAAGGTGGAGGGTCGAACAAGTTCGGGTGGGACATCTTTAGCATCCCTTTTGCTCTTTTCCCCTTTCCAAGCCACAAAGGTGTACTGATCCAACTCTTTGCTGTCAGACCGCTCCTTCAACTTGCCTTCTGCTTTTCCTGGACTCTCTAGAGTTTTGCTCTTGAAAGGAGTATCGTCTTTCCAGGCCGAAGCCGCCCGCTCACTTTCTCTCTGGCTGTGCTCTAGGCCACGTTGTCTCCTCAGCTCCCGTTTTTCCTGACTTCTGGATACTGGTAGTTTGGAAAGCTGAGGAGCTCTGTTTTGGATCTGTCCAGTCGGAGTTTCGGGAGACATGGGTGTCCTTTCATCTCTGGGAAGTGCGGATGACTCTTTCTCAGTTTGCTTCTGTTGCTCCTTGACCTCAAGGGGAGGACCAGCCTCCACTTGAGGGATCTTCTCAGAATGATTTTGCTTTTTTGGGACAGAAACATCAACAACATGGGCCTTGCCTTCAATCTCAACATCCACAGGAGCCGTTTTGTGCTCCAGCACTAGTGTCTTCTCATCACCAGGCTGCTTGCCTGATGTTGGAACTGTTGGTTGTTGTAGTGACGTCTTCTCCTGCCGCTCAGCCTCCAAAGCAAACCGAGCTTCTCTTTCCTCTTTCTGTCTTCTAGCTGCTTCCTCTTCCTCTCTGGCTTTCCTGGCAGCCTCTTCTTCCTCTTTGAGTCGCCTGGCTGCCGCCTCAACTTCTTTAGCTCGCCTAACAGCCTCTTCTGCTTCCTTGGCCCGTCGAGCTGCTGCTTCCTCCTCCTCTTTTCTCCTCCGAGCTTCCTCTTCCTCTCGCTTCCTTTTCTCTTCCTTTAGGAAGTAGTACCTAACCAAATCAAATCAAAAACTTACTGAATCATGTTCAATAATCTAAAAATCTGCATTAAGGTGATTTCAAGTTGACTTGTGTGAGGTCTATACCGTTTGCGAGCAGATTGCCCCCTTGCAAGTGCCTGTATCTTTGTGATGGAGGCTCGTGTTTTTCGATATTCAGCTCTTTGTTTGGAACCTCGCCATGCCGTCTGGATCAGAACCACGGCTTGGTAGAACTTCTCTTTGCGGAACCTACGCCATGAGCGCTGTAGAAAAGGCCAATCAAATATTAGACATGACTAGACTGCCCAACAAGACAACTGCAAGTATACTACCCAAACACACGTTTTTGATATACCTGGATCACGATGGCTGCCTCTCTCATTCTAATAAAGTCCATCCTCTCAATTTTGCCACTAAACCAGCGCTGCAAGAAAATCATTTTGTGCATGACATCCTTGTGCAGGATGTCCTGAAGCTTTTGCCTTTCAAGCTCTTTGAGATACACCTGTAGAAGTGGAACAATACCAGACATAACTGTTAAGAGTCAATAACTAGAGACATTGTCACTTAAAACACTTTAGGGCACCCAGATTTCTTTTTTTTACCTTGGTTCTTCCAATCTGGTAGGTAGTGTGGTCAAAGCCAAGCTTGTGCAACAGAGATGATATTTCCTCCAGGGACGTAGCGTTCTTTGGCAGCAATACACGAAATTGCTCAGTAAACTCCTGTAATGCAGAAAAGGAGCTTTGCTTATTCAGACAAGCCATGTTACACACTTAGTTTAATTCCTAGGGTTAGAGGTTCTTTCTAATCTATGCGTTACCTGAAAGGTGTATTTGGCTCCATAACCTGACCGTCTGATGCGCACTGTTTCCAACATGCCTGTGTACCGCAGTTGCTGCACAATGAGCGCCTCATCAAAACACATTTCCCTCTGAATGTGAAATATAGAATAACAGACAAAATAACTTAAGTTAAAAGACAGGTCTCATATAAAAGATTTTCTCAAGACTGATGTGGATAGATGAACAGTTCAAATTCAGACCAGGAATGTGCATTGTCATATTGACTTTAATTAGTTAACCAGGTAAACAAGGACGTGTTATTTGCACCTTTTCAGCATTGGAGCGAAGGCATCGAATGAAGAATGGTTCTGCCTTCCCCAACGTTTCCAGAAGCTTACTAAGAGATGTCTAAAAGATAGAGAGATTTCACAATATTGAGTGGAAGACCAAAAGAGAACCACACATGATGCCTTCAGACTATTACTTCCATTAGAGAATAATATTCTTAGCATTTTCTGATGCTAGCATTTGAAATGTAAGTGCTAGAGTTTTAAGCTGTTCCAAAACATAGTGAGATTTCTGTTATTCCTTTCTGTCTACCGCTCTACACAAGCAGCTGTTTTTTATTCTGCCACACCAATAGCACGTGGCACAAAATGTTTGTTAGCATCTTGCTAAGCTAACAGCATGTTACTCTAAGCATAAAAATACAAGGAAAATTTGTATTTTAATGAATATTTGTTTGCTATGAAGACTGAACAGTTGTACTGATAATTTACATATACGTTTCAGAGCTGCCAACTCTCAACATTCACCGTGAGACTCTCGCAATTGACACTTTTCAAACGGTCTCACGTCACACATCCATTTTCTCACGCACAGAAAAATCACGAAGCAAAGAGGACACGAAGACCGACAGACAAGAGAGCAGGTTACTTATGATATATAAAAAAATTCAGCTCTCAGATTATGTGAATTCTATTACGAAATTCAAACAACAAATACCGTTTTTGTGCTTTCAAATGTGACGTGACAGATCCCTAGCGCCTCCTTTCAAGCGGCACGTGAACCAATCACCTCTACTACTAATAGTAAATAATCACGAATGAACAATGGTGAAAGATACAGTAGGCTACAACTTACAGAAATGTATATTCCTCATACATAATATCGATCAATCAGTGTTTTTCAACAGCGGAAAGAGGTCAATAAAACAGCTGGAGAACAATATGTCACATAACATTTACCTCAGGAAAGCCATTTAATGACCATAATATATAGCACGTTATTGGCTAGAAAAAAGAGCTATAGAAAGTATTTAGCTAAATATATGTAGCCTACTATACATATTTATTATATTTTTACTTATATCATTAAATAAAGTTTTTATAATAAAATGTTTTAACCTTAAATAATACTACCAGCTGATAGGGCTCTCTGTATGGTTTACAGCATTAGGTGAGAATTTTTTTACTTGAGAAAAATTAACGCCTATCTTGTGTACCTGATGTTGATGAGTCAATATTGAATCAAATTACAAGAATTATATTGAATTGAAATCCTGAAATTTGTGTCAAGCAATAATTAAAACCTGTATCTTGCCAGAAGTTGTACCATGTAAACATTGTAACATGTTGTCACTAAACCTAATAAAAATCTGTTTAGTTACTAAAATGTTTTGACAATCATAATACATTTATTGTGATGCAAGATTTCTTTTACATCCCCCCATTCCAACCCACCCCATCCCCCCCATTTTTTATTATAACAACAACAACGTTATAATATTTTAACTATACAAGTCAAAATATAATAAATATGTAATATAGTGCACATATTTAGCAAAATACTCCTCTCTATAGCACATTTTTCTAGCCAACTAACGTGCATTGTCATTAAATGGCTTTCCTGAAGTAGCCTAAATGTTATGTGACATTGTTCAGCCGTTTTATTTGCCCCTTTCCACAGGTGAAAAACACTGATTGATCGATATTATGTATGAGGCATATTCATTTCGGCAAGTTGTAGTGTATCTTTTAACATACCTATTGTTCATTTGTGTTTATTTAAATAGTATAAGAGATGATCGGTTCACGTGCCGCCTGAACTGAGGCGATACAGCGATCTGTCACGTCACATTTGCAAACGGCAAAAAGGTATTGTTTGAATTTCGTAATAAAATTGACAGGATCTGAGAATTTGTTTCATATCATAAGTAACCTGCTCCGTCTTGTCTGCCGGTATCAGTGTCCTCTTTGCTTTGCGATTTTTCTCTGCGTGAGAAAATGGATGTGTGGCGTGAGAGCGTTTGAAAAGTGTCAATTGCGAGAGTTTCACACTGAATGCGTGAGAGTTAGCAGCACTAGTTTATGCACGAGCACAGTTTGGACCTCCACTAGGTTTTGGAACAGAGCATTTGTTTTTAGGCTGAACCACCAAACTTGGCACGAACAGCCAGGCTAATCTAATATCGTTTTTTACTTGAAACTGGGCGCTGATGCTTGGAGGACGTTTCTTCTTGTGCAGATGAAGTAAAGACTTGGTGGTGCGGTCATGGAGGCCCACTATGAACTTCAGCGAACGAGAGTCCAACAGGCTCTGCCCAAACACACAAAAACAAAGTGAATTTCTCTCACACAGAGACTTTCTTTTGCCACATGAGTGCCATGGGAACATGACGGCATGGAAACTCTCATTCCAGACAGAGTCTTCAAAACATTTACCCTGCACAGCACATGTAACGGAAAGTCATAAACAATCAAATGGTGATGGAAATGAGAATGTACCAGCTGTGCTGCAAATGCTCACAGGTTAAAGGTGCTGTACATGGGTTTTTTGAATGGCCACACACACAAATTGTCTATGCAGGACAAAAGCATTATCAAAGGAGCCCTCTATCTTGTATATAAAGCACTGTTTGCAGAGTAGACTAAGTTTTTCTGCTTGCATACCGATGTTTTTGTTACATTGACGTTACTCTAAGTCTGGTTGAAGTTATCAAACCAGCAGAAATCACTTGCAAGCACCTTGACTGTCAAACAAAAACATAGACTCTGTTATTTTAAATATGCACAGTTTGATCAATTCAGAAAGCGATGTATACCTTGGGAATGAGTTGCTTGGTCTTGGTGTTCTTGCTTTTCCTGTAAGGAGGAAGAGGAAGGTTGATGGTTTGTTGAGATAAGAAGTGAATGGATACAACGTGTTAGTAGCGTGAGTCATGCATTTGCTTGTGAGACATGAGCAACACACTTGAGAAGCTCTGATGGAGCATTCGACAAAGAAGGTGTACGATTCGTTTACGCAATGGTGTGGAATATATGCCGGGTCTACATTTGAGCCCGATCAGTTGTCTAACATCCCCATTGAAATGAAAGGATTCACAGTGTTCTTGGATGTTAAATCTGGCATGTAGACGGAGAGGAAGATGCAAGATTTATTGCAATGGTGTGGGTCCACATTCCAGCACTTGAGTTTGTCAATTTGAAATCAGTTTTCCATTGAAATCCATGGATTCGCAGTGTTCTCTAAGGTTAAATCTAGGATGTAGACGGCATAGCAGCAAAGATGGTTTCAACGGAGATAGGAGCGTCATGGGAGGGAGGAATGTTGTCTCTGATACACCTAATCTACAGGAGAGGTATTCCTCCTTTAGGGTGGACGACAGCTAGGATGTAAAAGGTTTAGATTTGTGGAGTGGAGTCGATGTCTGTGGTCTTTGTAAGCAGTGATTCCACACCTCATAAAACATTACAGACTTAATGGTTGGGTCTCGAGAACCAATAAGCTCATGCAGCATGTTAGCATGTGGATACAATTCCGAGCTAGCGTTAATGAAGATCACACTGCTTTCAGCTCGTAAACTCTGCATTCCTCTTACATACACCGCTAGGGAGCTATCTAAAGAATAAGTGAAATACTTGTTAGATGGGTATTAATAGAGCAGGGTTAAAGGGGTGGTTTGAGTTACGCAGTAAATCACAAGGTTAGCTGACAAGTAATGCTGCAGATTTGGGAAAGTTTGGGAGCAGGGGCTGTTTTGCGAAGTTTTCTCATAACTAAGCTTAGCAGAGAGCCAAAAGCATTGGCTTCAATGCCAAGGCATGAAGGGTCGGCAAGGTGGACCCATTATTCCATGCCAGAGAGGAGTCAGTGGTCAAACTCACTGGAGGACGTGACGCGGGAACCGTAGGCGACCCCAGGACTGAAGCAGCTTACGTGGATCTTCCCCATCCAACTGCAAGTCCTTAATGGAGTTGATGATTTGGGCATGCATGTCCCTGATTCAGCCCGGTGGAAAGGTGGGAGAGTGGGGGGAGGAGACAGAGGGAGTAGGTAAGATTGGCGGGGAAGGGTAAGTACAGGAACCCAACACCAATGTTGTTAACAGACTTCAGGGAAAGCAAACGCCCTCCACCACCACCACCACAAAAAAAAAAAAATGAATATAATGTGGACATGAACAAACGCAGGCAAGTGTGTTAAATTTGAAATTAAAAGAACCTTAATTTGGTGAACTATCCCTTTAAGCTTCAGTGGTGAATCCATGCTGTTGTTACTCTGGTTTTGACCTGACGGGGTGTTAAATGGGGGTCGGCACCCCATTCAGCGAAGGCCTGGATTCATGCACTGGTTCACTTACCACACGGATCAGAACAACAGGAGGTCAAACAGGTAGGATTGGCACTGGGGGCTGGGGACGCACTTCTAATAGCTCTTCCACAAACCAGGATGTGAACCCGCTTCTATAAAGGACATTTTATTGTTTCCTTCCCACTTGGGAGCACTTAGGTAATAAACCTCACTAGGTCCCAACAGGGATTTATGAGAGTATGCTGTGGATTGAGCATTGCTTTGAACAAACCAGGTTAAATACAAACTCTGGCTTGGCCTTTGCTCGCATAAAGAAAGAACAGCTTGCATAGTTAGTTTCTGCATTCTGTGAATGTGGTTTTTAAGTTTGCTCACAATACCGGAAACCCAGCCTTCCCAAGCCGCCAAACTCTCCGTCTGACCTCAATGTTCTGCTTAAGTCCACTTACTTCTTACTCTCATAACTAGAAAAGATGTCCTCAAAAGCCTCTAGAGGACGCTCCTCTGAATGATCAAAGGAGAAATCAAGCATAGGAGCATGGCTGTAGAAAATAAACACCACACACACAGTCACTCGAGGGCCGACGCCACCAGCAGGTGCCGATCTATGACCAGCTTTATTGCCCATACGGGTTAAACTTTAGTGGAACTGATCACAGGTCAGTAACTGAGGGGAAACCCTTGACAAACACCAGAGGAATAGAACAGGGACATTGCAGGGATATACTTGATCATTCTCACAAAATATCTGTTAAGAACATGTTATATTTCACCCAAAAATAACAAGAAAGAAAAAGTAAGGGATTGCATTTTGCATAAATTATACAGGCGTGATCACCATTATTGTAGCCATGACATTTTAATGAAAAGTAAGCATATCCCACCCAACTTTCATTGGTGTAAATAATGTTAAATTGTTTGTAATATATGGTGATTTGCATTAAATAATTGATACAGTGGTATTAAAATATATAAAATGTTCATTTAGTCAACTTAAAATAGTGTCGATTGTGTTTTCTGTTTTGTAAAATGAAAAGCTTTAATATTATTTCTTCATGCACAATATCATTTCCCTTTTTTATTTGGATTTTGAGATGAAATATGAACTAGTCAGGTTTTTGTGACATTCACGCAATATATACCATGTTATATTGTGTAGTTGCATTAAGACTCAAGACCGAAAAATAGGACAAAGTGTATGAGATTACTGTGAGAATCGGCCTGCAATGTGCCAATGTGGAGAGACCGTGGTCACATGATCACCTGCCACACAAAGGCAACGAAAGGACAGGAAGAGATCAAGTTCCTCACAATACTTCCCCTCTCTTTCTCTCTCTCTCAGTCACACCAGCCTGAGTCCAAAGCTTACCGATACATCCTCTCGATGGGCACGTTGGATCGCTGCAGCTCTCCTAGAGGAACTCTGGAGTTTGGTCTGACCACACCTGTACACACACACACACACACACACACACACACACACACACACACACACACACACAGACACGTTGTTGACGCCGTTATTTCAACATGCGACGAGACACCCCACCCAAAATGTCTTGCAAACAACCTTACTCACTTATTTTTATTATCCCTTCCTAGTTTAATCATGCCGAAATCCTTCTAAATATGACTGTTTGCGTCACCGGGCAGCTTTCTCACGTGCAGGCTATAAATAACCTTCTTAGACCCTGAGAATCCAAAGTTTTGGGCTAATCTGAAACTAATCCATAATGCTTTGTGGGTTACCCGCAGTTTTGGCTGCCCAGCGGCGTCCGGCCTCGTTGAAGGCGGCCAGTGCGCGGACGCTGGCACGGAGGATCCCCCATCGGAACATGGCCACCGGATCCATCCCGATAAGCTGCCGGACATAAGCGCGGTCACTGCTCCGCAAGAGAGCCACGATATCCGGACGCATGTGATCCGTGTTCTTCTCACGGAAATCCTGTCGCAGCCAATATACATGACGAACGTTAGCAGAGTCATTCAACGAAACGGGTGTCTTTTGCAATGCATTCATATTAATTGGTTAAAATATAAGATAATAAAAACAAATTTATTTTTATTAGCATTTATACATTTATTAATGTAAAGTGTCATTTAAGACATTTTGTAAATATCAACAATTTTATTTTGTTGCCAGAAAAAATGATATCAACTAAACTATTACATTTTAATATGAAGAAATATTAATATAAAGAAATACAATAAATATTTTGTATTATTACTTTAACAGTTAATAATCGTACCGTGTGTCATTAAGGGCATTTTGTAAACATAAAAAAAAATATTTGTATTATTTGGCCCTGACCAAAATATAATATATTAAATACAAACATACACAAAATACAGCTTTAACAAATAATAATTTGACTGTGTCATTAAAGACATTTACAAAAAAAAAAAAAAAAAAAAAAAAAAAAAAAATTATATATATATATATATATATGAATAAATACAATATTAATTGTTAAAGTCATAATAAGTATTTTATTGTATTTATTCATATCAATATTTAACATATTAATGATTTTTCATGCATTTCGAATTTTGATATTTATTATTTTTTAAGTAATGAAAAAATATTGTTTATGTTAATACTTAGTATATGAATATTTATTATTAAATAGTAAAAATATATTACTATATTTAAATATAGTAAAATTATAACTTGTTAAACCTGTAAACAATTTTTATTGTGTATGTTAATATTTAGTATATTAATTTACCAAAGTAATGAAAATATATATTTTTATGTTTACAAAGTGCCTTTAATAAGACAGTAACATTTAATAAGACAGTAACATTAAAGGCATTTTGCACATTGATTTTCTTTTTAAATTCATCCATATCTGCATGATATAGTCTTGTGCTCAGCTGCCGTTACCTTAATCTGGTATTTGACCTTGCCAGCAAAATGGAGGATGACGAAAGCCGGTTCCATCACCGGAGTCGCCACAAAGTATTGATTCTGCTGGTGCTGCTGTTTGAACTTGGCCAGCAAGGTTTTATCAGTGGCGTGAGGAAAGCTACAAAGAAAAGGTGTTATAACTACATTTGGGCAATGATGAGCAATGAAGCAGTGCGAGATGAACGGTCTTACTTGCTCTCCTCGTCCAGTAAATAGAGGAGTCCCGTGGGCTTCTTGCTGATGAGGTGAATGCAGCCCACATTATCGGTGTAGTCGATGTTGTGCCAGGTGATGCCCTCGGACTGATACTCCTCCTGCCGGGGGGGCAAACACACTTCACACTCACATCGCCACTGGAAAGAGAGGTTTGCGAAACCCGCACTAACCTGTTCAAGTTTAAAGATGTGCTGGTTGAAGTAATACTGAAGCTGCTCGTTGGCGTAGTTGATGCAGAATTGTTCAAAGCTGTTGGTCTCAAAGTCTTCGAAGCCGAAGATATCGAGCACACCGATAGACAAACACTGAAATATAATGCAGGAACAACATGAGACCTTGAATTCAACACTGGCTACGTTTACATGCAACCAAATAATCCGTTAGTAGTGGGATTGGCGGCTCAATCGGACTGAAAAGCCTTCATGTGAACACTTTAATCGACATTGACATTTCGATCGGATTGAAAGGGGTGGTTTATTTCCTTTCTAAAACGATCCAGAGAACATGTAAACACTTGATCGGATTGAAAACCGAAAGAACTGCGCATGTGCAATGGCGTAGAAATAGCATAATGATGACGTAAAAATAGCATAACGGTGTAGAAATAGCATAATGATGACGTAGAAATAGCATAACGGTGTAGAAATAGCATAATGATGATGTAGAAATAGCATAATGACGTAAAAATAGCATAACGGTGTAGAAATAGCATAATGATGACGTAAAAATAGCATAACGGTGTAGAAATAGCATAATGATGACGTAGAAATAGCATAACGGTGTAGAAATAGCATAATGATGATGTAGAAATAGCATAATGACGTAAAAATAGCATAACGGTGTAGAAATAGCATAATGATGACGTAGAAATAGCATAATGAAATAGAAATAGATAATGACGTAGAAATAGCATAATGATGACGTAGAAATAGCACAATGATGTAGAAATAGCATAATGAAATAGAAATAGCATAATGACGTAGAAATAGCATAATGATGACGTAGAAATAGCATAATGACGTAAAAAGAGCATAATGGCGTAGAAATAGCATAATGATGACGTAGAAATAGCACAATGATGTAGAAATAGCATAATGAAATAGAAATAGATAATGACGTAGAAATAGCATAATGCTGACGTAGAAATAGCACAATGATGTAGAAATAGCATAATGAAATAGAAATAGCATAATGACGTAGAAATAGCATAATGATGACGTAGAAATAGCATAATGACGTAAAAAGAGCATAATGACGTAGAAATAGTATAATGACGAAGAAATAGCATAATGACGTAGAAATAGAAATAGCATAATGACGAGTAATGACGTATAAACAGCATAATGACGTAGTAATGACGTAGAAATAACATAATGACGTAGAAATAGCATAATGACGTAGAAACAGCATAATGACGTAGTAATGACGTAGAAATAACATAATGACGTAGTAATAGCATAATGACGTAGAAATGGCATAATGACGAAGAAATAGCATAATGACGTAGTAATGACGTAGAAATAACATAATGACGTAGAAATAGCATAATGACGTAGTAATGACGTAGAAATAACATAATGACGTAGAAATAGCATAATGACGTAGTAATGACGTAGAAATAACATAATGACGTAGAAATAGCATAATGACGTAGTAATGACGTAGAAATAACATAATGACGTAGAAACAGCATAATGACGTAGTAATGACGTAGAAATAACATAATGACGTAGTAATAGCATAATGACGTAGAAATGGCATAATGACGAAGAAATAAAATAATGACGTAGTAATGACGTAGAAATAGCATAATGACATAGAAATAGCATAATGGCGTAGAAATAGCATAATGACGTAGAAATAACATAATGACGTAGTAATAGCATAATGACGTATAAATAGCATAATGACGTAGAAATAACATAATGACGTAGTAATAGCATAATGGCGTAGAAATAACATAATGACGTAGTGATAGCATAATGGCGTAGAAATAACATAATGACGTAGTAATAGCATAATGACGTATAAATAGCACAATGACGTAGAAATAGTGTTATGACGTAGAAATAACATAATGACGTAGAAATAGGATAATGACGAAGAAATAGCATAATGACGTAGTAATGGCGTAGAAATAGCATAATGGCGTAGAAATAGCATAATGTCGTAGAAATAGCATAATGACATAGAAATAGCATAATAGCGTAGAAATAGCATAATGACGCGCTGAACGAGCTGTTCTTCCTGTTGAATAAAGTGTCATATAAACGAATGTCCCGTTATCCTATAATCCTCATTTCACTCAGCGTCTGTGAAGTGGAGCAGGACGTCCCACCAGTCCTTGTGTCAGACTCTCATCCACAGACGACTGGTTTTGGGCATTTTTACTGTGTGATAAATATAACCAGCGGCACAACGGTTCATGAGCTCATCGTCTACAAATTATGACCAGAAATGGATCAATAGTAAGTCTGCTGTTTAAAACAGATGAAGAACCAATGTAGGAGAATGGTTATTATAAACAAACATCGGGAAACAAACGCACGCACACTTCAACCCGATCACGTTTAGCGTTCATGTAAACACTACGTTCGGATGAATTCAGTCCGACTGAAAGAAGAGTTCCCGCGGTTCCTCTCACCGAAACAGACTCCTCCATGTCCTTCTTGTTGAGCAGCGCGTGATTGATCCGCAGGACGATCCAGTCGAACAGGGCGCTGTACAGGGACTTGGCCATGGAGTCCCGCGCCGTGATCGCCTGCAGGAACGACACTCGTGAGCTATTGAACATCTGGCAGACGCATGTATGAGAGCGGGTGTTTCTCGTACCTCGCTGTGGCTGTAGGGCAGGATCAGCTTGTCGTTTACGGTCACCGTTTTCCTCTTGGTCAGAGCCTCCACCAACAGCTCCTCCTTCACCTACGCACACACACACACACACACACACACACACACACACACACACACACACACACACACACACACACACACACACACACACACACACACACACACACACACACACACACACACGAGAACGCGTGAGGAACGACACACTACTGAGAGCATGAAACAAACGTGTGACCGGCTAACCACAGGAATGAAGGAAAAAACTTTCTGTAAAAATATTTAATAATAATAATAATCATAGAAAATATTATAAAATAATACATAAATTTTATTTTTATTTTATATAAATAAAAAATAAACAAACAAAAAAGGAATATATTAGTATATATTACTATAGCAATAATGCTATTGTAATGTACTTTTTTTTATTTAATAATAATTATTAATCCAATAATATAAAATAAAATATATAAAATAATTATTCTCATTTAAACTGTTTTTGTCAATATATTATTTAATGTGTTATTTGAAATATACTAATTTAAATCAATTGAGAAATATATTAATACTGTAATGATACTATTGTACTGTATAATATTAAAAACATTATTTATAAATAATAATAGAAAATATTTATAAAATATATAAATATTTACAACAATAATATAATTTAATTGTATTGTTTACATTACAAAAATTAAATAAAAAAGGAATGTATTAGTATATATTACTATTGTAATAATATTATTCGTACAATAATACTATTGAACAAAAATTATGTAATTATAAAATAATAATAATAATTCATATTTGTTGTGTATATATTTAATTTCTTTTATTATTTGAATTATACAAATTTTAATGATTAAGAAAGAGTAATATCACAATAATATTATTGTACTGTAAAATAAAATAAAAATATATAAAAAATTTGTCCCTGGATTTACGCAATTCACTTTGGTCATACTTCCAGTCAAAATAAATCTGCATAAAAAAGGAGAAAAAAATAAGGAAATAAAAAGAAAGAAAGATGGCTTGCATCCCTGAAGTAAAGTGTGGAGAGCACCCTCACCTTGAGCAGGTCTGAGAGTGTGGAAAGCACCTCCGGCGGCCCGACGTCCAGCCCTTCCTCTCGGCCCGACGACTTCTGACTGTACGTCACGTTACCCAGGTACAAGATGGCCGACAGCACCGAGAATATCCTACAACAACCAAAGCTCTCAGATACCAGTCTACAAAGACATTCGTTTTTTAGTTGCTCTGTTTTACTAGTTTTTTGCTTAATTTCTATGTATTTTTATTACTATAGTTGTACAGCACTTTGGTCTTTTTAAATGTGCTCAAGAAATAAGCCAACTTGAACTTGAACCATTAAGGTTTGACAGGAGACTCACTGTCTTTTGGTGGCGGGCAGGAACCCCACCATCTCCATGGCCTGCTGGAGCCGCTCGAAGTCGTGCCGGAGGTCATCCGCATCTTCCATCACGAAGTTTTGCTGCAAGCGAAGAGCAGAAGACCGTTGCAGTTCTCGGCTCAGTGGATGTTGTGTATATGAATAGGACTTCAAATGAGCGTCACCTGTTTGAGGTAGAAGTATTCTTCAGGCTGCAGGAGCTTGAAATCTCGCCGCTCGTCCTCCGACGCGCCCACCAGCAGATAGTAGAACACGTGATAGTTCCTGCGCCAAGAGGGAACACCAGCCAATGAACAACAGCCAATGAACAACAACAGCCAATGAACAACAACAGCCAATGAACAACAGCCAATAAACAACAGCCAATAAACAACAGCCAATAAACAACAGCCAATAAACAACAGTCAAGCTGAGAAACTCAGTTGAGAAACAAGCTGAGTACTGAGAAATTGCGACATTGTTAATTCTTATTAAGCATAATATACTTTTTTTTTTAATTACAAGCATGTCATGTCATAATTAATTCTTAAACAGAATTATGCTCGTATCATATTTGTTATCGAAGTTTTTTCGAAAAATATCGTGGATGGTGATCTCTAATCATTTCGGAAAGCTGTATGCTATGCTGCTATCTAAGCTAACATAAATATATGTTATATATATATATTTATGTTAGATGCGATTAATCGCGATTAATCTATTTAACAGTACTCAAATAATTATTTTTCGGGGGGTTATACTTGTCAAATCAAATATTATTTTATATATATATATATACAGGACCTTCTCAAAAAATTTGCATATTGTGATAAAGTTCATTATTTTCCATAATGTAATGATAAAAATTAAACTTTCATATATTTTAGATTCATTGGACACCAACTGAAATATCTCATATCATCAATAAAATAATCTTTTATTGTTTTAATACTGATGATTTTGGCATACAGCTCATGAAAACCCCAAATTCCTGTCTCAAAAAATTAGCATATCTCATCCGACCAATAAAAGAAGTGTTTTTAATAATAAAAAAAAAAAAGTCAACCTTCAAATAATTATGTTCAGTTATGCACTCAATAGTCAATACTTGGTCGGGAATCCTTTTGCAGAAATGACTGCTTCAATGTGGCGTGGCATGGAGGCAATCAGCCTGTGGCACTGCTGAGGTGTTATGGAGGCCCAGGATGCTTCGATAGCGGCCTTAAGCTCATCCAGAGTGTTGGGTCTTGCGTCTCTCAACTTTCTCTTCACAATATCCCACAGATTCTCTAGGGGGTTCAGGTCAGGAGAGTTGGCAGGCCAATTGAGCACAGTAATACCATGGTCAGTAAACCATTTACCAGTGGTGTTGGCACTGTGAGCAGGTGCCAGGTCGTGCTGAAAAATGAAATCTTCATCTCCATAAAGCTTTTCAGCAGATGGAAGCATGAAGTGCTCCAAAATCTCCTGATAGCTAGCTGCATTGACCCTGCCCTTGATAAAACACAGTGCACCAACACCAGCAGCTGACATGGCACCCCAGACCATCACTGACTGTGGGTACTTGACACTGGACTTCAGGCATTTTGGCATTTCCTTCTCCCCAGTCTTCCTCCAGACTCTGGCACCTTGATTTCCGAATGACATGCAAAACTGAGCAACAGTCCAGTGCTGCTTCTCTGTAGCCCAGGTCAGGCGCTTCTGCCGCTGTTTCTGGTTCAAAAGTGGCTTGACCTGGGGAATGCGGCACCTGTAGCCCATTTCCTGCACACGCCTGTGCACGGTAGCTCTGGATGTTTCTACTCCAGACTCAGTCCACTGCTTCCCCGGGTGCCCCAAGGTCGGGAATCGGTCCTTCTCCACAATCTTCCTCAGGGTCCGGTCACCTCTTCTCGTTGTGCAGCGTTTTTTTGCCACACTTTTTCCTTCTCACAGACTTCCCACTGAGGTGCCTTGATACAGCACTCTGGGAACAGCCTATTTGTTCAGAAATTTCTTTCTGTCTTACCCTCTTGCTTGAGGGTGTCAATGATGGCCTTCTGGACAGCAGTCAGGTCGGCAGTCTTACCCATGATTGCGGTTTTGAGTAATGAAACAGGCTGGGAGTTTTTAAAAGCCTCAGGAATATTTTGCAGGTGTTTAGAGTTAATTTTCATGATATGCTAATTTTTTGAGACAGGAATTTTGGGTTTTCAAGAGCTGTATGCCAAAATCATCAGTATTAAAACAATAAAAGACCTGAACTATTTCAGTTGGTGTGCAATGAATCTAAAATAAATGAAAGTTTAATTTTTATCATTACATTTTGGAAAATAATGAACTTTATCACAATATGCAAATTTTTTGAGAATGACCTGTATATATTTTACAAGTATAAACCCCCGAAAAATAATTATTTATTTATATTTTAAATTTGAAAGATGTGATATCTTGTTTTAACTAATTTACCCTAACCATTTGAATAAATCAATTCATTCATAAACCATAGTACTAATGTTGATTTAAATTAAAACACACAAAATGTATCTAAATCTATTTATATATAAAATTTGAAGGAGTTGATATTTTTTTTTTTTTAGACCGAATCAATAAATTAAAACATGGTAATATTAAATTATGCTGATTTTGTTTTTCAAAATATGAATGTACATACATTAAATTTGATGTATGGTGATATTTTTTTTTTTTTTTTTTACATTTACATTATCAAATCAAATTAATCAATTCATAAAAGACGGTCATATTTAAAATAAACTGTTAACTGTGCATTAAATACAGTTTGTACCCCAAAATATAATATATTTATGTCATTTAATTGATAAATTATATGTATTTATACATTGAATCTTGTTTTTGGACCAATATTTTCACCTAAACTATTCAAATGAATCAGTTCACGAAGGGGAATCCCAACGCCACTCAGAAAGATATTTTACAATATTTTGGAAACATCTGATCTTCTGTCACACTATTGAAAAATGTTGCCAAGTTTGTAGCGTCACTATTTTTAGCGCTAACAGTGCAGGGTCTGTTTTTCGAGTTCTGCAACCTGATTATCTTTCACGACTTCCACAGCGATCAGATAATAATGAGATTAGCGCTGCAGAAATGAGTGTGAGATCGACAGATACGCAGACTCGTCTGTGGGAACCATCTGTCTCTCGACCCAAGCCTGGTTTTTGTTGCCAACTAGAAACGTCTTGAAAGCTTTTTACCTCTCGTTCTTCTCTCTGGAGACCAAGCGGGATTTCTCCAGCAGATATTTCTCCACCACAGCCCTGCAAGACAACGAGAAACGTCACAAACGTCACATGACAGCAGCTCTGTGTCATAAATCCGGCCTTCAAAAGCGCACAGATGTCAATCAAAGCGGCAGATGGCCTGAAGAAAACTCTCACTGCAGTGCAACAGGGAACACACACTTTATCCCATTCATTTTCCTCAGAAAGATCTTCGATTAAATGTTCGAAGACTCTAGATCTTTGATGAATCCCAACACTACAAACTTTGATTCAAAACAAAAGACTGTGTACTAGTGTCTAGTGTCCACTTAATGACCGTCATCCAATGAAGTGCACTGGGCCGGAGAACAATAGTGCCACTGAAAGCATCCGGACGGCTTTAATGACGTCTCTCAGGCTTTCTTTAGAGGAGCACGAGTACCATTAGGGGCTGTAACTCATGCTACACTACTATAGTACCAAATCAACTAGCTCTGTTTCCCGAAACCATTCTGTCGTAAATTGGTCGTTCAACCACGTTGGTTAATGATGTCATGATGTAATGAACCCGTTTGAGATTGAATTAATGGTGCGTTCACGTGCTATGGAAAATATGATATTTTCCACTTGGGAACTGGTATTTACCAGTGTGTTGCGTTCAAGTGCTTTTGTTGTCGTAATGTGATAAAAAGATTTTTTCATTTTTTTTCCGCATTTTTTCAAATACTCCGCAATTTCGCCGCATAAATTGCTGATTTCCGCGCAAAATATGCGGGGCTTGCATGATTTCATAATCCTCGCATTTTCCTCGCAAAAAAGTCACATATATCTGAGCAGAAAGTTGGAAAATGTTGCGTTTGCTTCACACAAGAGCAGCCGTTTCCCCTGTTAAATATTTAATTTATTCATTTTTACTGAAGTTGTAGCATATTCCTCTAGTAAAGCTACAGAACTTGTTTGACTCATCAATGTTTTGTAAGTTTGATGTGTTTATTAAGGTCTTGTAACGCGTTGTGTCAGGAGGAAAAATAGGGATCGCTCACAGACGAAGTTATTGCAGAGGCCAGACAGACTCACGGAGGCGATTGGCATCTCACAACTCGCACTTTATTCCCAAATCGAACTCTTATAACTGTCTGTCACACGTTCTACCGTCTACATCGGTACTTAATAAACAAAAGAAGATAAAAGTAGTATCATCAAACAGAAATTACCCGCACACATGGGGTGTTCGAGGCGCACATACAATATAATACAGGCAGTTCAACAGGGAGCGCGCAGCTCTTAAAGGGGCCACACCTTATTTCCACTCGTTACAGTCTGAAATAAAACAAGATGAGAAATTAAATATTCCAGCACTTTCTGTGATGTAGTACTAGGGGTGTGCGATATCACGGTTTTTGATCGTGGACGATTAAAATGTCTCCACGATCTGCTTTAGAAGAAATATCGTAGTATCGTGCATTTTATCAGTTGCAGTTCTGGCGCCGAGCTCCGTCTCAACAACAAATGTTAACGCAGAGGAACGGGACACTGCAGTCCACAGAAGTTCATTATTTGCATGTGCTTTAAAGCCTTGCTGGTTAAACATGTAATTCACGTGCTGATGCGCTGTTCTGACGTGTGCTTTCTGAGCGCATACACCCGAAGCACACGGGCACTAAAAGCCTGTCTAACAGCGTCTGTTTACTGGACTACGTTATAAGTTATCTTTCGAGTCTTATTGCGCTAATATTGTCAAATACACACAAGGTTCACATAAACAAAGTTGGTTATGTCTAAAGTGAAAGCAAACCGATGCAAACCGAAGAGAAAATCTGCTTGTCAAATGCGTGTATATTAGACGCGTTGCGTGCAACTCTTAAAGCGACAGTAGCCAGTTAGTAAACAAGCTGCCTCTTGTCCTTAAAGAGATAGTTCACCCAAAAATAAAAATTCTGTCATTATTTACTCACTCTAATGTTGTTCCAAACCTGTATTAATTTCTTTCTTCTGTTGAAAATAAGTTATTTGGAAGAATGTGGCTAACCAAACAGTTACTGGTCCCCATTGACTTCCATAGTAGGAAAACATATACTATGGAAGTCACTGGAGTACAGCAACTGTTTGGTTAGCCACATTCTTCCAAATAACTTTTATTGTCAACAGAAGAAAGAAACTTATTCGGGTTTAAAACAACTTGAGAGAGTAAATGATGACAATTAAAATGTTTGGGAGAACTATCCCTTTAATGTTAATAAAACAAAAAAACACAAATAGGAAATCACTCATAGCTCTTGACTGAGAACTTTAGTAGTAGCTTTAATAATAATCAATGTATAATTTATACAGTGAAGTCTATGTTGTGTTTTATTTTCGTATTTGTTCATTTAGCCGAATTACTTTCTTCAATGCTACTGTTAAATACCCCTACTGTAGCTGAACAAATAAAGCACTGTTTATTTCATTTGTATATTCAGTTGTGTATGCTTAATGTGTATCTTTGTTCCTAATTCTTAATAACAAAGAAAATAATGATAAAGATTTTTATCTACGCCACTTTGGCCTAAATGTCTGCCTTTTTTCTTTTGTTACCTATAAGGCTTTTTTTTTAAATAGGGACATTAGTTTGGCTGTAATGCTCAGTCACTAGCAAATTAGTAAAACCAACATGAAAAAAAATCGTGATAAAATCGTTAATCGTGATTTTCCTGAAAAAAATCGTGATATGATATTTTTGCCATATTGCCCACCCCTATGTAGTACGCTTGCTTATCATAGGAAGTAATAAGACAGGACCCTTTACATTAAGGTAGTAGCCTAGTGAGAACAGGGTGTTGGGGGAATCACTTTTTTTTCTCTTTTTCATCAAACCGCAGTTTTTGCAAGTTCCCGCAATTTCATCGCAAAAAATTGCATAAATATCCCGCATATTCCATCGCATTTTTAAAGAAAACGGGCCGCGTAATCAAGGATTTTTGCCCGCAACAATCACAAAAAAACACCGTGTTTTTCTGGAAGGACTGATTCACGACTCTCGCGTTGCTCTCCGCCATTTTGAAAAGGTCAAAGGTTATCTCATCACGGCAACTCGTGCATCAAAATATTCTACGAGCTGCCCAGTGGAAAATACCACATGAGGGGGTGTTCATGTGCATTTTCCACAATTACCATAGCACGTGAACGCACCATAACGCGAGATGTTTTGCTATAAATTACGAACATGGCATCTATTTGTCATTTTTCTCAGTTATTTCGATTTATTTCCAGATTCAATCATAGGCTCGTTCTTACATAGTGAGCAATGCATGTTCGCACACTCTTCAAAAACTGCTGCAAATCTCTTGACAAACTAAAAGACATTTGTATAAAAGATAAAGATTGCACTGTATGTCAGCTTGCTTATTTTGCTCAAGATAAGGATTTATTAAGTCCACATGTTATAAAAACTAGAAACTCTCTTCTAACCACAGGTCAAAATGCCGTCTGCCGGAGTTTCGCATACTTTAGGCCACTTAATAAAATATATTTCTCACTTACACACTTACATCTCTGTGATAATGTAAACAGCTGAGAAATAAATGTTTAACAGTATATTGGATCCGTGCATCGGCTCTTAAAGTGACAGCGGCCTAATATTCCATGTTTTTATTAAAATAATTTTGTATTTATTTATTATTTATATAATACATTTATTCTTTCATTTATATATATTAAAATAATTTATTTATATATTATATTTGATTAATATTCATTCATTGATTCATTTAATTATTTATTTATTACCTGGACATGGTTTTCATGAAACTCAAAAACTTTTTTTATTGTGCTTTTTTTTATGTACACTGCATAAGGGCTAAACTCACCTGGAAGTAAATATTAATATATAAATATATATATATATATATAATATAAATATTAAACTGGTCATGTAAATCGAAAATGTATATAATTATATTTTAAATGTTTTTTTTTTAATTAAATGTGTTTATTTATTAAATGTTTGTATTTATTATTACATTTAGTTGTTTTTATTGCATTTATTATAAATTTTGTATATGTTATGATTTTTTATTATTTATATGTAACATTTATTAATGTATTTAATATTAATTTCATGAACTCGTCTGCAAATCGGTTCAATATAAAAGCGGTTATGCGACTTTGAAGAATGCGTATAAAAAGAAAGCTAGTTCTTTGAATTGGAGTGAGTTGCCCAGACTGAACAATCGAGCGGAGGAGGAACCATGGCAGATCCACTGGTTCCTTAATTGTGTTTAGACAGCGTCTGCCAGAGTGCAGGAGGAAGTGATGCGTATGCCGGAGTGTGACGTCGGGGGCAGATGGCAGGGTGTGTGTGTGTGTGTGTGTGTGTGTGTGTGTGTGTGTGTGAGAGTGAACAGCAGCTGATAAGAGCTTCAAAGCCCAGGGTCAGTTTCTGAAGGCTCACCCTCGCACCACTCCGCTCTCGAGGTAATTGACCTGGATGAACTTTCCAAACCGGCTGGAGTTGTTGTTGTGGGCCGTCTTTGCGTTTCCAAATGCCTGTTGAGAGAGAAAAAAAAAAAAGTAAAATTATACGTTTTAGTTTTGCTTATTTTACTAGAAGATATGCGTACAAGTTGTGCTCAGAATTAATGGCACCCTTGGTAAATATGATCAAATATGGCTGTAAAAATAAATAAATCTGCATTGTTTCTGCACAATTTTTTTTTGTGCAAAAATCAAACCTTTCATTGAAGTAAAATAATTGAAAGTGCGGGGGAAATCACATTATGAAATACATGTTTTAAATTATAAATGATCATATTTAGCAGGGGTGCCAATAATTCTGACCACAACTGTATATGCATTATTTTTCAAATGCGAAGTTAAACTTATAATCTTTAAAACTTTTTGTTAAAGACAAATCATAAAAATGGGTGTTCTTAATTCAAAACATTAAAAATTATGTTAATTATAAAAACATTATTATAATTATTAAAATTTTGTATAATAATAGAATTTATTATTATTATTATTATGATCAATTATTAACAAAAAAAAATTGAAATAATAGCTAAAAAACAATAAACTGTTTACATTAACTTATATTATTGAAACATTATTATTAATTATGATCATTATTGCTATTATTCTGTAAACAATACTTATTTTTACTATTAAAAAAATAGAAATTATAACAATAGATACAAAAAAAATTCTTAAAAGAAAATATTTTTAGTTAAAACATTATTAGCACTATTTTTATAATTATCATTAAATTACTTTTACAGGGTACCCCCAGGATCCTCCAACTTAAATTCAAGGCTTTTTAAGACCTTTTTAATACCATTTCAAATGAAATTCAATGCCAACTTCGTACCCATTCCGACAGAAGTATGAGGGGAAAATGTCAAATCTGTATACAATTTAAACCCTAGAAACTCATTATGTACAAGGCTACTTGAATTAAATAAAACATTTTACTTAAATTATCAGTCATATTTAATACATACGCAACAGCATTGTAGCGCGCAAGTGTATGTAGGCCAGTGTTAATTTTGGCAGCCATTTTTGATTTACGAAAATGCTTATTGGTCTTAATCACATTTGAGTCATCCAGTTTTTTATAGTTGTAGTTGACGAAAAGTCTTTGCATTTTTTGTCAACTTTTAGTCAAACTGCAGTTACTTTACAGGTAGTTATTTTATATGTAGTCTTTAGACAGAAAATGTCATAATAATTATTCTCTCTAGGCCAATTCAATTAAGCTTATGATAAATTATTGACATTGCACTCTTTAGCAGTAGCACTTGTGCAGTTCTACATAATTTGGTTCTCCAATGTTTTAGAGTGCCGTACCCCCTGGTGCAGTCACACCTTTTCTATTAAGGGACAAGATTTGCCGCCTTTAATACATTTTTCCATTTCATTTTTTTTCCTTTGTAATACCTTAAAATAATAATAATAATAATAATAATAATAATAATAATGCTTTAAATAAAACAATGTTCATTAAATTTGCAATGTTAAAAAACATTAAAATCGCCAGTAGGTGGCAGTACCTCACTATCTTTATGAGTGAGTCTTTGAGTCATTCATTTATTGAATCTCACGATTCGTTCAAAGCCACATATTTCGTTGCAAAACAGAGCAAGCCTGACAATGCCGTTTTAAATGTAGTACATCACTTAATGTTACCCTTTTTTCTTTTCTTTTTTACTGTTGTATAAAATCAATGTCACATTTGAAATCGTGTGGATATTCGGGAAACATATTGCATTCTTGCTCATGAACACTGGTGGATATCAGCCTGCATTTTGATCGCAGATTTAGTCGTACAAACAGCGCAAGCGGCTCGTGACAGAACACAGACCGACTGAATGACACTTGAATTTAAGTAGAACATCTTAAATAAAGATCGCTGAACTCCAGCTTGTCTGTGTTTTCAGATCATCCGCGCTTCTTCAGCAGTGTAGAGAGAACGCGCGCGCATGGTTGCCAGATACTATTGAAAAGACCGGGTAGAAAATATGTTCTTTTAACAGAAAAGCTCTTATTTGGGGTTTAAATTCTGTCATTTGTGGCCACAGCGCATTCAACTAGGCTAGGTACTATCTTGTTCTGTACCTCACTTGCCTAGTAACCATAGTAACGGGTGCGCACGCGATCGCTTTTTCTGCTATGACGTGGAGCGCGAGGTGCACTCAAGGCTGCATTTTTCCATTTCGAATTAGTATAGTTAGTAAGTTAATTTTGTTACGGTATGAACTTAATCCTAGCAAAGGCAAAAAAATATATAAGACCTTTGTAACGAAATCCAAGACTTTGTATACTAAATTCAAGGCTTTTAAGGCCTTAATTTGAGATGATCAAATTCAAGACTTTTTCAAGGCTTTTAAGACCCGCGGGTACCCTGTTTTAATAAGAAAAAAAAGTGTTATTATTTCTATACATAATCATAATAATTATTCTTATTACAAATTATTTTGAATAAAAATACAAATCAATATTAAAAGAAATAGACTATTTTAAAACCAATACAAATGTATTATTAATAAAAACAATTAATTATGACTATCATTATTTGAATAACAACAATAATAATTCTTAATGCAATTACCAATTATTAATAATGAGACAGGATTAAAATGCGAAAATTAGAATACATGTCATAAAACTGTATATTTGTTTTTTAAACAAAACACAAAACCAAATGTAAAAAAATATATATTGAAACAGTCGATAAAGACAAGAGGAACATGGTCTAATCATAAATAAGATTAAATCACGTTTCAGATGCAAATAACTAAATGCAAAGTGCTGTGACTCCTGGTGTTATCATGGCCTGTACAGTCACATGACCTCGTCCACAGTCACACCTCGCCCGTGTGAAACGCTGAGATTAACGCGTCTCTGGCGAGGACCTTCCCTCGCGGAGGAACAGTGTTCGCCCAGATCGCCCAACAAAAGCCCTGTCCCGGGGGAGAGAGGCTCTGTGCATGTTAAAGAGAGAGAGGCTTTGTGCCAGACACCAGTGGAAAACACACGGGGGAGGGGAAGGGCTCGAACCTCATTAAGATTCCCTGCAGTCGACCTTTGACCCCTCTCACCACACACACACACACACACACACACCACTCCATAAAGGGAACGCTCAGTGTATAGTGTAGCCAATCAGGACGGCTGAACTGCCACAAATTAGCATTCTGTCACTGTTTGCTTGCTCTCATGAGGAAGACCAAACTAGAAACTTCATGCAAGTCTTTCCTAGCAACAGTCAAGCTCCAGAAGCATCAGCTGTGCATATTCTCCAATAGCTCTCCGATATTACACACAAAGCCATTTCCAGTGGGTTTCCCTCCAGCTAATACACTCAGGTGTACAATTTGTGATGCTTTATTGTCGCCTTAATTTATGTTTATGTCAATACCCAAAATCTCACATGGACTAGTTTTATGATGCTTTAATTTTTTTTTTTTTTTTTGAGATTGACAGATGTGGTTAATATAAACCGTTGAAGAATGGAAAAGAACGACATGAAGATTTCTCAAATTAATAAAAATATAAACATTTAATAGAGTAAATAAATACTGCATAAATAGCTAAATAGGCTACATAGAATTAAACCAATAAATATAAATTAGCAAATAAATAAGTAAACAAATATCTAAATATATCAAATGACTTGAGTATATAAAAATGCGTAAACCAATATAAAGACTAAAAAGCAAAAAATAAATAAACATGAAAATAAAAATAAATAAATACACCAATAATTAAATAAATTAATCAGTGAATAAGTACCTAAATAAATAAACATAAAATTAATAAGCAAATAAATGACCAAGTAAATACATCATAAATGCATAAATGTAAATTTTTTAAAAATGACTAAGCAAATAAAACTAAATAAATAACTGTGAATAAAATAAGCAAATAAATAAATAACCAAGTAAATTAAAATAAATAAACAATGACTAAGTAAATGTATAAATCCATATAAAATAACTAAATAAAAAAATAAAAAAGTAAAAAAAAAATCAGTTACCAATAAATAAAGAAAAACTTTCTAAGTAGTTAAAAATAAATGATCGATATCTATACATCTAATTTATCTATAAGGTTCTCATCTCAAGATAACACAATCAAGCATTTCGACATGTTCATGAAGTAAGTTCATGAGAATGTCCATAAGAAGAAGAAAAATCACAAGATTCATTGAAAAAAAAAAACACAGAAGTGAAAGAATTTCCCGCAGTCAGTTGACTGGATTTGACAGTCACTGGAAAAACAAAGCAACACACTTCACTATTATATATAATAATAATAATAAATATATATATATATAAATATAGCTGCGAGCAGCGATTACGGGCCCAAGCCGGTGGCACCGCAACCCTGGTGCCTTTAGTTACCTAAATACACTATTATATATAATAATAATAATAATAATAACTTCACTCCTGCAGTTCAGATTGAAACATGTCTCCACACACTCGCTGTGATTGGCTGAGGGACTCGAGAAGAGCATTTTTCCGAGTGTCGCAACACAAACATGCGGAGTCCTTCTTCTGCCAGACACGGGAAAGGAAATAAAAAGGGGTAGGGGGGAAGACAGAAACCTGCCGACCTGTCGGGACTAGTTCTTATTCCTGCTGTTACTCGGGAGTCAGCAGCCCGCCGTGGATTTCCACGAGAACGCCGCAAGCCTCTCGTTCCGTACAGAAACTACAACATCAACAACAATAAATACCATTGAGCTTAACTGAGATTTGAGCAGAAGCAGGGGCCGAAAACTTCACTAAAACAACAACAACAACAACAACAGCATCTGAAAATGCCCGAAAATAAACGTGTGGGGGGAGGGGTGGGGGTACATATTTATATGAATTTAATCAATATTAAAATGTTAATAAAAACAACATTTATTTTTATAACAATAAAACTAATATTAATTATATATAAATAATATAATTTTATTGTTTATTATTTGCATTAGATATATACAGTTTTTTTAACATTTAAATGTTAAATAATTAAATTATTATTATATTATAAAA